AACATTTAACAGGAAATTTAGCTAGCTAGCTACCGAGACATCAGCATACTGCTAGTGTTTTCCTATGCTTGTTATAAATAAAATGAACATAATCCATTGAAATGACATTAAACTAAGATAATACAATGGTTATCATAGTTTTTTTAACAGAGAAGATATTTACATTTGTGGGTTTCTTTGGTCTCTTGCGCAGCCATCTTGCCGTTTTTTCTTTTTTTCTCATAACACTGTTTGGATTGGGCCTCTGAAAAAAACCCAGTTTGGAGGGCCCTAACACTTCACCCTACCCCTCTATCTCAACAAAAATTTGGGCACCCTACCCCTAGGCATCAACATGCAAAACGGAGGGGTAGGGCAAAGTGGGATTGGGCCTTGATGTGGTTTGCATGATGCTAATTGCTGGTTTTTAAGCTTCCATGACTTATAGCTTCATTAGCCTTGTAGCTCCAGTACAAAACTGAAGAAGTTGTAATGGGGATATTGAAGTTTACGCCAAACATGTCTTGGCTCGTCAACCACATTTGAGGTAAGGGGAAAACTGCGTAAATGAGATTTTTCACCTCTTTAAGGATTCGTGCCCTCTCTAGTACATAGGCCTTAGAAAACGTCACTCGCAAAAGTTGGACGAACGGCCTGATGAAATGAAACATGAAGGCTGAAATGGTCCCAATTGCATTATAACATATAAGAGGTCTCGTGGGAGAATCATACAAGCCAGTGTTCGCAGGTGATGTACTGTGCAGTGCCCTGGTGTGCAGCCGCTGTCGTGTGGGGGGCTAAGCTGGCTTTGACAGACAGGCTTTCTGACAGAGAGGCCAGGTCCAGTCTCATCATTCTGAGGCTAGCGAGCAGACTTGGCACCTGATGCACTCTGACATCTGAACTACTCAGGAGGGGACAGAATGCTTAGCCAGAGCCACGGGCCTGGGAGTGGCACTCAGAACTGTTGCATAATCGGGCACTACTGCACAGCAAGTTCCTCAGAAACATTTGCAGTACTGTGCAAAAGTCAGAGACCACGCTTCATTTATTCAATTCCCTGTCAAAACATCCACTAAGTACAATTTATTTCAGCATCAGGAAAAAAAGCAGAAAACATATAACAAAATTATCAGAAGCCTTACAGCTTCCATTGTTTTTAAGAGATTTGCTTTCAGTTTTTCAAAGAAATCTGCAGGGACACTTTTCCACCTTTCCAAAGTTTGGTCTTAGAAGTTGGTTGCATTTTATGTGCTCCAAGCAATCTCAATCACATTCAGTGATGCTGAGGTCTGGACCCTGGAGTGGTCAGTCCAGTGTTTTGAGAACACCAGCAGCTTCTTTGTTTGATTTGCAAATTTTCTTATTTTATGTCCATTTCCTTTTTTCAGTGACAGTTTCTTGACAGCTACACATCCTTTCAGACTCATAGTGTTGAGTTGTATTCTCACAGTGGCACTGTGGAAAGAAACACCTGTAGATCTGAAGTAAGAGTGAAGCTTGATATTCTCCTCTGTCTCAAAGATAAAAGCTTTAAGTACTGTGCTTTAATATGCTTTAATCTGATGTGTCTGGTCTACCAGGTCTTGCACGGTTGTTAGGAGTTCCACTTTGTCTTTATCTATGATATTTATATATCTATGTCTTGTTTTTTCTCACTTATTTTCTTTTGACTGTGCCTTACTTATGCAAGTGTATTATATTACATCTAGTCTCCTCAGAAAAATGAATGACTTTTACTTAACGGACATTTTCTTTTGAAATTAAATATAGGGTTTAAATGATGAGTGGTCTCTGACTGTTGCACAGTATCATATCTCACATTTTTACCTGCAACTATGCAGTTTAACATCATTTCCAGGCTGGTTATAATCATTTTAAGACAGCTGGCCTACATCTTTTTCCATAATTTAACAAATGAATGCTTCTGCGGTCTTGCTTATTATGTTAGAGCTCCAGCCTCCTGTCATACACATGCACATGAAGCAGATTTTGAATTGTTAGATTGAAGGATGAGATGCAGGCTTTTGGTAGGTTTTTTTCAGTTTATTCAGAGGGATTAGCCTTTTTCATCTCCTCTATGTTGCTTTGAGTGGCACTTAAAGCATCACATTAGTTAAAAATAGCTGTATTCGCTGGCATTACTGAATTGTTCTTTCACCATCTGCTTGAACTGAATGCGTATCCTCTTCAGACTGCAAGACTCTAAGATGTTTCTGCCTGAACCCTTAACGTTGCTGTAAGCTCAAGGGCAGTACTTTAAGCTGTCATTTTTCAATGATGTTTAATCAGCAACGGACTCATAGAAAATGACCACAACTCCATTAAAAAGGTAATCTACCAACAAATTGAGTCCTGCTTTGTGGTAATGACTGGATGGCGCTATTTTCCTTGATGTTTCTATTGATTAATTTGCTGATGTATGTGTGCGTGTTAGGCGGTGTGAGATGTGCATCATGCCAGACGGCAGAGTGTGCCACTTTTAATAGCTCTCGCGGCACATTAAATGAAGGGTGACAAAGTGGGGCTCATTTGTAGCTTGTGCATACTAAAGGGATTTGTGCCCTGGAGGAAAGCTTATCTTCAGATGTAAGCCTGCGCTGTATTACAGTGTGTCCTATTAATTATTATCAACAGCTTTAGTGAGTTAGCTCGCAATACGTCGGCCAAGAAGAGCGTATTGTCCTGTCCATTCGGTGAACTGCATTGTTGCATCTCATTACATCAAATCATGTTTTGTCATGATTGCACTGCTCACATACCCAGATGAACGTCAGAACTCATTTTGATCAGCACTCCTAAAAATGAAGTCGATACCTTGGAAAAAACACTTCAGGATCCCTAAAGAACCTTTCAATCAATGTTCTTTGAAAGTAAAGAACCATTTTTGTGTATGAGCTGTGAAGAACCTTTTTAAAGGGCCATATGGCTACAAATGTGTTAACACTGTGCCTGGTGAATATTGCCATTTTTGAAAGAGCAAATTAAAGTGCATCCGCATTTCTTTGTTGTCCAATTAACTGTTACCCCATGCACTCAATATGCTCTTATACTGTATTTTATATGGTTGCTGTCAGAATCTTAACATGAACTTGCATTATAAATTATACGATTTTATACGTTTTTTTCTATTGCATAGTTGCAGTTTTGGAGATTGGACAAGGTTCTGACAGTGACGATGTGCAGTATTGTAAGAGTTTGTATTTTCATGTCATTTGGAGTTTATCTAATATATTCGTTAAATATTTTAAACTCCTGTTCTACATTTAAATAAATGGGTTACAGTGTTTTTGTACATCACATGAATGCTGAAGTTGTCTGAATATAAATGCAGAATGTCTTTTGTCATGTTAGTTATGAGTCAACACAACTAATAATTTTAAGGCAACTAAGTCAGTTTCTTGGCATGTTAACCCTCTACTGCATGGTGTTGCCATATGGCAGCAATTACTTTATCTCAATTTTACTAACAGGCTGTAATAAAAAATCTATGTTTTGCTATTTAATTGTGGAAAAAGGTCTTTTACTTTGAAAGGACAAGTACTTTAGGACATCACATGACCAGGAAATCTTATTATAACGTTATTGCCATACATTCCAAATACCAATTGGGTCATACATTTCACTCAGTATAAGTTGGATTTGTTTAGTCTTGTTTTCAATAAAATGATGTTTTTAGAGAAAAAAATTATTTTATGTTGCTTTCAATGATTGCATATTGCAGATTTACCAAATACTCCCCTTTAAAAAATTTTTTTTTCAAATATTTCCATTATTTAAGCAATTTTAAATGCCCAAATCTCATCAAAACTTTTTTGTCATGTCTAAGTAATAATTCATACAATAGAGGGTTAATACCACAATCTATGTGTAGTTAAACTGAAATTTGAAATTTGAAGTCAACACAAATTAAAACCAGTACTTAATACAACTACATATACTTTTTTGTGTTGGATTTATTTAAAATTGTAGGTTGTCTCAATGCATTCTCAAGGCTGAATGAGTTGAAATGAAATATAATTTTAAGTCATATCTGCTAAAGATAATGCTGTGTTAACAAAAATAATATTTAGTTCACAGAAGACTGTCTGATTTGAAATATTAATCACACCAACACAACACAACTTACTTACACACAACTTATACTTACTTTGGCTTAAATGCTATGTTGTATAAAATTTTAAGGCAACCAGGTTATTTTTTAAGTTGAATCAACAAATTATTTTGTACAGTGTATCCTTGCTTTTTTAGATAAAAGAGTTTGATATAACATGTAAACATTGTTAAAGTTTCGAAGTTCCAGTCCATACAGCCCATATATGGAAGCTAAGCTGCAAAAACAGTTTGTTTGGAATTCACAAAAAACATCACATTTATATCCGTCTCTTCAGCCTGCAGAACTTCAGCTTCACTCATTCACATTGAAATGATAAAGAACGCTTCAGCTTGGCTTGCTTTTCCAATTCGGCATAATACAGGGTAGTGAGAACAGAGCTTATTTACATATGTCAGTCTTAAAGGCACAGTGTCAAAAACAGCCTGTTTAAATCTGAGGGAGGTTGAAAATGTTTACATAAAAAAGGAATTATGGCTGTTCCTGGTACATAAAATCACATAAATATTACAAAAGGACCTCAGCGATCTATAAAATAGATAAAAAAGGGGATGTGGGCCCTTAAAGAACGTCCTCATAATATATATGTTCTATGCCTGTTAAAAGATTTTTCCAAGAACTGGACATTCAAGCCAAGAACAGTTTAGGGACCTTTATTTTAAAGTGTGCATGCACTTTATTATGAACAAAATAATGACTCTTCAGTGGGAACCACTTAATCCCCATTTGTGCTGTCTACCAAGCAACCCAAGGCCATATGGCCATCTGACATAATGTGTTTGCCCATAGCTGTGATGTCCTTATCAGTACCCCTGCTGCCGACTGTTGATCACATGTACAGCTCTATGTGTAACACTTTATTTCTCTGCTCAAAGCTAACATGATATTTTCTCTTTGTATTTGACAGAAGACTGAGCTTCAGGATGCCTTACAGGAGAGGAGCCGCCTCAACCTTGAGTTGTTCAGCAATAGCCTGAAGGCAGCGCAGTATGAGCAGGTAGGAGCTGATTGGCTCTGGCCATTGGATCGATGTCTGGTTATTAGTCTGCTCTCCCTGAAACATGTGGCACTATGATACTCCTCAGCTTCCATCGCATCAATCTAATGCAATCGCACACCACAGCCTGATCAATAACCACCAGGATCCCTGCCTGATTTGAATAGACTTGGCTCACTTATTCTGTGATTGAGCTGTAGTTTGTATACATTTGTAATCTTAGGAAAACAGTGTTGGCTGTAGAGTGTTCATGAAAATGAAGATGTCAGGAAAGGTTCTTTAGAGCAATGTAACGGCAGAACCATTTTGTTCTCCTTAAAGGACCTTTTGGTGGATGGTTCTTTAAAGAACCATGTTTGTAAAAGAACCTCTACATAATTGGTTCTGCCCAAAGTGTGGCCTGCATGCTAAAGTTGGGCTGTTATGATATTTGATTTGGCCTAGCAGAAGGTTACCCAGAAACAATGAGAGACTAAACATATTTTTATGCTATAAATAACTTATTACATCCTTATTTTCCTTTTGAAATTGTACTTTTTGATGTGGTTTAGTAACAAAATATAGTGCCATGTTATGAAATGTATTTTTTGAAGCCTACCTCTCTTCTTTATTTGTATGTTGTCTTTTTGGCCTTTGTCCCCTAAGACAAAAAGAGTAGGCTCCCCTGCTCTATACCAATCAAAAGTTTTTCCAAGGACTGTACATCCAAGCCGAGAACCATTAAGACCCTTTAATGTACTCCTTAAAGTGCTTCAGCTAAGAACTTAATCTAGTCTCAAACGTCTAGCAGCTATCTGTGGCAAGTTTGGTGACACCCCCACAGCAGTATCAGCACCAGTGCTGTCACTGATCCCTCCCTGGGGTTAAGTAGTGCACTGAAGGAGTGGATATGGTCCTAGCAGAACTCTTCTGAGAATGGCGGACTGGGGCGCCTGCCGCTAATGGTGTCGTTTTCGCTGATGCCTTTTGCCAAGCGGCCTGGGCACACAGCTTGGCTGTCTGTCTCTCAGCGTAACACCCGGCCTCCTGCTCCGCCACTCGCCTTGCCCAGCAAAAAGGAACCATCTGTCCCCACCCCAGACGAGTGGCCGAGATAAAAAGCCTTCTGCTTAATCAGGTAGCAGCACCCAGGAGAGGCGCCTGCTCATGGCCCCTCCACGATCAAAGGCTCGTTTTGCAGCACGTGAGGTGTTAACAAGGCTGGGCAGAGTGGGTAAATATCCAGAGGAGGGACGTCTATGTTTGTCACGCACTCTGACATCAGCCCGGGCACTTTCTCGTCTTCCACGTTCCGATCGATATGAGATGCGAATCAGCCCTTCTATTTCGCCTGGCCTGCTTTGATGAAATGTATCCCAATAAATGAGAGGGAGTGCATGCCTGCTCTGAGTGATGCAGCTCCAGAGTCTGGCTGACAGTAGGGATTGCAGGGGAAACTTTTGATTGGTGGCTCAATTAAAGAGGTAATATATTTCAAAGATTAATTCGGTTTAAGTTCATTTAGTTATTTTGAATGTTATATGTAATGTGGGAACAGTATAAATAGTTTAACTCACCCCACTATGGTACACTACATATTAAGGCTGAAAGACCTCTGGTGTTTCTTCTGGAATCAGGGTTATTAGTATAGATAATGTTTGCCCTTTGCTGCAGTTGCAGCCTCCACTCTACTAAGCGGTCTTTACAGTTGATGTTGTAGGGATTTTATTGCATTCAGGCACAAAAGCATTAGTGTGTCTACCACTGCTGTTTTGCTATTTAGATGTCATTGTAGATCTGGAAAGCTGAAGAGTTGATAACAAGGACGGAGCAATACAGTTTTTGACCAAGACTGTGAGACTTTTCTTGCTTACATCATCTAAGAACAAACTGAACTTGAGGTAGCCAAAAAGAAGTTGTGGAAACATAATGTTTTATGTCCTTCAGTGGTGTCAACATCACAGTCAACATGACAAGCTCAGAAATCCAAGCTGAACGTTGTTGAGCGTGTTGCTATCATATAGATATCATTTATCAATTTTTGGCTCAAGAAAGCACACATTTATTTAGAGAGTTTAGTGTAACTCTTCAAGGGGAATTCTGCAATTTGTTAAAAACATCTGCATAATTAAATGGTTAAGATGTAAACAAAGTCATTCACAGTGGATTGATGTGAAATGCTCTGTTCTAGAGGAACTTAGAGTGACAGGAACCAGATGTCTGAAGAATTGAATGCCTCTAAAAGTCACTTCACAGAAAGTTATCACACTAAATGGTTACACATATGCTTCCTGATGCCTGAGTCACTGTTTTGTTTAGTTTAGTCTAAAATGTATGTGTTTAAATACATTCATGACAAAGAGGTACATGCAGGGCAATGTAAAAAAAAGCAAATGCCAAAGAAACCTTTTTTTCAGATTTAACACTATTTCACCATTATAAACATTACATATTGCTGCTGTTGGAACAAAACTTTGTATCTCCATTTTTGTAAATTTTTCCAGTTTTTTACATAATTCGAAAATGCCTGTAGCCCTTTACATTGTTTATAAGTTTCATGATGACCTGGAAAAAAGTCTGGTTCCTTTGACTGACATTAAAAGGAAAGTAGGTATGAGGTACAAGATACAGCAGCGATATGTAACCTTAGAAGACAATGATCATTTCATTTTTGATAGTAAATAAAATGGCTTTATTTGTGTTGTACACACTGTCACCCGGTTCCTGTCACAACCGCTGTAAAGAAAATCAGAGTTGACAAGCGCACTATTTCACGTCAAACCACTTTGAATGATTTTGTTTATACCTTAACTATTAAATTATGCAGAAATTTTGCAGTTTGGTGGAATTCTCCTTTAATGAAAGAACCTGTCAGAAAGATTAATGACACTTTTTGTAAAAATAGTGCTTAGATCCTAAAATCCGTGCCGTGCATTCTCGTCGTACAGTACGTTTCCATGATTCATGAAAAAAGGGCATCTGAGAAATGATGCAGAGTCAGCAGCTTTGTCACAATTGTTGCTGGTTCTCCCCTGAAGACCAACCTCGGCCGCAGAATTTATTCAACCTCCCCACCAGCCAATTCTCTGATTCATCACTAAAATGGTTACATAAGCAAGATCAGTTTTTCTGTGCCTCTGAAGAATTCGTAAAAGGACATTGCATGCTGTCTAAAAAGTGCGCTTTGGGAGCCTCTTCATAAAAATATGTAGAGAATTTCTCTAATTCCACTTGCTCACTTTTCTCCTTTTCAGCTCTTTCACTCTCTCTCTCTCTCTTCCACTGTCTCTGAAGGTGAAGTCAGATTATGAGCAGCTCAGAGAGACGTTTGGTTGTGTAAGCCAGGAAAGAGACTTGGCGAGGCAGGAGAAGGCTGAGCTCCAGGAAAAACTGGAAAACCTCGAGCAGGTCCTGAAGGTGGGAAACACCTGTCTTCACTTTCACTACTTTGCACAGTTTTCTGGTTTGGTGTTTATGTTAATTGATGATACACAGTGTTATTTGAGACTAATGGACTAACTCAGGGTCTATAGTCCTGGAGGGTCAGTGTTTAGAAGAGTTTATCTGAACTAGACAGTGACAATGAATACCTAGATGCTGTATCTATTCCAGTAAAACAAATCTCATGTTTAAGTTTCTATTGAACTCTACTGTTTGGCATTAAGTATTTGTAGAGCTGCAGTTGTCAGAGATTCGTGCTTTTTCTAAGGTGTACTCACACTCACATTTCTCTCTTCATAACTCCATTGAAAAATGGTCTTATTATTGTTTTGCCTGTGCTCTTCTATATTGATTGTTTGTTCACCAGATGTGTCTCATTAAGGCAAAAACACTGCATAACAAGAGATCGATCTTAGACCTCTCAAAAATGAAGAAAAGTATTTAGCTTTCCTGTATTGGTCATTATTGATTATGTAATGAAACAAATGATGGAAAGAGATTGCTTTGAGGTTAGGAAAGGAGAGGAGAAGAGTGGAAGGAAAAGGAAAGTAACCAATGAGGTTTTTCAGACCTTGTAGTCAATTATCCTCTCGCAACTGTGCAATTTCTCGCAATTGTTTCAGGATGCTTCAGGGGTTGAAGATTTGCTGATTTAATAGACTGTAACAGAGGTAAAAGAAATAAATAATTAATTAATTCTCATTAACTATCTCTTAAATTGCTCATATCGAAGGTCTAACACACTTCTCACCATTGACGGCTGAGAATATTGGATAAAACCAGTTACATCTATCGTTAGGTCACACACTGTAACAGCATGTGACGTGCACCAGTATCTAATGTAGCAAAAATTCTGTATTTCTCAACAGCTTTGCCCACATTGTTAGCATAGTGCTAACAATATACTGCAAATCCATAAGATGCCTTTTGAAAATGAGCATTATTGCAGTGGTATAAATAGGACAAATACATGCTTCTTATGAAGCAACTCAAAATGTTTTGCATTTAACATTTTGACACCACTCATAATTTGAAGCAACGACTTTAAATGTGTCTCAGCCAATCAGATTTTAGTACCGGACCACACAAATACTTACTGCAGACTGCTGAGCTGGCTGTTGTGGGCTTAAAACAATTAGCCCAAATGGATAATGACCCAAGGGGGTGTTTCACTCTCTGTAATACATCACAGCACATTTGACCTGGAATCACTTATAGGCTGTTGTGAATCTACAGTTTGGGCTAGAAGTAAATTAGCCCCATCTTAGCCAATTCTTATTTTTCTTATGATCTTTTGGTAGCGCTCTTGTTGTCAGGTCCATAGATGTCCAAAATAATCAGCATCTAATAAATTATAAACTGCAAGTAAAACGATGTGCATACCAAAGATAAAAGCTCATTTTGCTGGCTTTTTTCTTTGAAAGGGGGGAAGGTCTTGGCCCCACTAGAAAAATGTATTCCAGCCAGCCCTGCTTATTGCAATCTCCTCTCTATATACACAAAAGTATAAAAAGTCACGCCCCTCCTAATTATTCTGTTCAGGTGTTTCAGCTACACCCATTACTAACAGGTGTTTAAAATCAAGCCCTGCAAGATCTGCCCTGGTTGACTGTTCCTGTACAAAGTGAGGTCCATAAAGACACGCTTTGACAAGTGTGGTGTGGAGGAAGTCCAGTGGCCTGCACAGAGCCCTGACCTCACCCCCACTGAACACATTTGGGATGAATTTGAGCCAGGCCCTCTCGTCCAACATTAGTGTCTGACCTCACAAATGCTCTTTTGACTGAGGGGCACAATTTACCACAGACACACTCCAAAATCTTGTGAAGATCCTCCCCAGAGGAGTAGAGGCTGTTATAGTGGCAAAGGGGGAGGGTGGGGTCAACTCCATATTAATGCCTATTGTTTAGGAATGGGGTTTCCAAAAAGCTCATATGGATGTGATGGTCAGGCATCCACATTCTTTTGGCCATATAGAGTACTATATACTACTGAATATACCCACAGTAGCATAGGTTATTCACTTCATGTACTGAACCAACTGTACTGAAGTATCGAGTTGATAAAGTTAGTGCAGTTGTTCCAGAACGCTGCAGATCTTCAGTCACTCCTCAGCAGAAGTGCAGCCAAAGCCCCTTTAGTGATTATGCAAACCACTGTGTGTGTCCTGGACACCTCCAAGAAACTCAAAGGGGAAAAGAGGCTTTGCTTCTCTCAGAGAGGGAAAAAAGATGGATAAGTCAGACCCTTTAAGCTGCTTTATGTATCTAAGCTTTACACCACATTTGATGTACTTAACTCTAACTCCACTTTCTGTCCAATTTAACCCTATCCTGGAAAGAGAGAAAAAGATGATCTGATAAAACCTGACGCCGGAGGGACCACCGCAGTCGCTGAGTTATTCCATTTCCTATCAGCTTGTATTAAACTGTCTTCTATTTCTGCACACTCACTGAATGAAATTCACCATGCGTTCACTCGGTATATGTCAGTGTCGTATCTTGTTATTGTCCCAGTTGTGCCTAATGCACAGCGGTTATTATTGGAATCGAATTTTACAAACTTTTTAATCCCCACTTACTCAGAAATCAGCAAGTTATGACAGTGATAAATGCATTTCTGCAGCATTCATCTATGCAGAATCAGGAGTTTTTGTGCCTCTGTGCGAAAAATCATCCTGACTATCTCTCTCTCTCTCTCTCTCTCTCTCTCTCTCTCTTTCTCTCTCTCTCCCTCTGCGCCATTCTCCCTCTGCTTCCCTGTCCGCCTTTCTCTCTCTCTCTGTCTGTCTGACTCTGTCTCTCTTTCTGTGCTGTTCTCTCTTTGCTTCCCTGTCTCTCTCTTCTCTCTCTCTCTGTCTGTCTGACTGTCTCTCTCTCTTTCTCTCTCTCTCTCTGTCTGTCTGTCTCTCTTTCTCTCTCTCTTTCTCTCTGCCTCTCTCTCTCTCTCTCTCTCTCTCACTCTCTCTCTCACTATCCCCCTTTCTCAGCATATGCGAGAGGCTGCAGAGCAGAAGCAGCAGCTGGAGGCAGAGCATGAACAGGCCCTGGCTGTCCTCAACTCCAAACAGCAGGAGATCCAGCTTCTGCAAAAGGTAAGAAACACAAAGTGCATGACACAATAAAGCAGTCAAACTCCTATCACGCTCTGTGGCATGTATTAAAATGCTGAACAGGTCCAGCTGACCTCAGTTTTGGATCAAGATGATGAGAAGAAAGGATCTAAGCAACTTTAAACGTTATTAGGGCATAGAGAGCAGAAGCTATAGTCACAAAATTTGTTCAGCTGGCTAATGTTTCAATAGACATGGTGACTAAAGTGGCATCTGCTTTAAATTTATAGGAAATTCGAAGACAATGATGCTCCTGCGCTAGTGGGACATGTAAGGAAAAACATGTCACACTAAGAGCAGCTGTTCCTCAGGTGACTGAGAATGTCACTGCAGGCTGTGATCAAACAGTCAGCATGAACAGCTCATTCACAACTACATAGAGAGAGAGATTATAGTAGGGCTGGGGTGCATTAACTTACAAAGATGAATTTGCATTTGAGAGTGGTGTAAATACACAGATGAGTCATCCTTCACCATATTGTAGGTGAGTGCACATGCAGTGTACACCATGAGAACCGTACAGGCCTGAATGCTTGACCCCTACAGAGAGGTGGTCAGGTTGCTCTGTTGTGCTTTTAGGGGCATTTTGCTGCCATGGTTTGGGTGCACTTGTCCTCTTAGAATGAATGAAGGGTCACTGCAAATCAGTTCAAAGTTGTTCTGACTGATCACCTTTGTTTTATGATGAAACATTTCTATTCTGATGGGAGTGAAGCCTTCCTGTCTCTATAATCCCTCATGCCTTGTCCCCATCCACAAGGCATGAGGGATTATAGAGCTGTTTGATAATGATTAAGTGGTGTATATATATATATATATATATATATATATATATATATATATAATAAAACTAGAAAACTGGAGTTCACACACAAGATTAATCACTGGTAACACATCGACAGCAAATGGCAACTTCTTGGAGACCATGACAGAACTTCATTTTCTTGTGTAGGACTGAAAATATGAATATAAAAGAAATATACAGATGTAGTGCGGTTTGGTAAAAAGTTAAAAAACACAGCTGTCATAGAACTGCTTGCAGTAATTTGGGCCTCAGAGACGTGTTGGCTTTCTTTTGTGTCTGTGTGCTCTTCAAAGAGGAGCTGCGACAGGAAAACAAAGCAATTAGAGCAGACAGCAGACACAGCACTACTGCACGTCCCCCGAGAGGCAGTCTCAACAGAGCCTTCACCGCACACGCACGCTCATGCACGCTCATGCACGCTCATGCACGCTCACGCACGTGCTTCATACAGACATGCAGAAACACCTGAGTTATCTTACTGCTCTGGTGTCCGTGTCTGCTTACATTACTTGTACTTACTGGACACCTTCTACTTTGAACATACTGCCTCGGCTGTGGTGGGCACGAGGGTCAGATCAGTTCAAGGAGCTTTGCCCTCTGACTCATAGCCTATTATTATTTCTCAGTATTGTTGCTGATGACCTGGCTGACCCTGTGCATGTCTACTTTTTGGTAGGTTTAAAGGTTTACATGAGAAGACCTAGATTAAATTTTTAATACTTTAATTAATATTCATATAATACATATGTTTCACATTCAGATACAAAAGATAAAAGATAGAATCACATAAGACAATCTATTTTAATCAAACAGGACATACATAATGTTTGTCCAGAGAGTTATTTCTTAATGTCCTCTTAAAAATCAAGGTTCCTAAATGGTATAGAACTTTTGCATTAACTTGAGGTTCTTTACACTTTTTACGGAAATTAATGTGGGTCTTCTGTGACATTGCTTCAAAGAATCCTTTGGGGTACCTTTATTTTTAACAGTATATAATAAAGATGAGCAATATGTCCTTTCTCCTGACCACTATATCTTGTCTTTAGGCTCAGGTTGAAGTTGATAAAGGGCATGAAGGAACGGTCCACTTGCTAGAGGTAAGAGACCCTCTCGACTCCCCATCTTCTCTTATCAGTTCAGACGGTCAGAGCTCCTGTCACTAACCTGCTCAATAGAGCCTGTAGGACTGAAAAGAATAAAGAGCACCCATCCAGATCATCTAATGTCCACTGAAAGCCCACAAAGAGACCAGTATCTTCGCTGACAGACATTTTTAACTAGGATAGGCTTGGTTAAGCTGTAGGAAGTGCTTCCAAAAGATTCTCCTACAGGACAAACTGACTTAAAACCAGAGTAAAGTATTAGTTAGGCTACGTTTACACAGCAAGTAAAAGTGGCCCAAATCTGATCTTTTTCTTCATATGTGACACAGATGTGTCACTGTGAACAGCAAAAAACGCATTGAATCTGACATTTTAAATTACGATTTGAGAAGCTTTCATATGTGGTACTGGAATCGGATACATATCCAATCCGCGGCAATGCGACTCAGTCTGAACAGCCAGATTGGAATTCATGCGACTTTTATGTCAGTCCAACTCGACATTCGTCATAATTTCACGCTGCTGAGACCTTAGAAACATTTAGCCTGATGTTTCTGTACAAAACGTTATTAGAGACTTATCCAAAACCCTCTGTGTTCAAAGAGTTTGAAGAGAATCCGAGCACACGAACCAAAGAAGTGACCGTGTCTGAATATCATGCACTTTTAACGGTGAGCTTGAACACATTCTGGGTGATGAGCCCAGCTGTCAATCAGTGAAGCTTCATGATCGCTCCTGTGGTGCTGGTGAAGAGGAAACAAAGCTCCGGGAGCGACTGGCGTTCGCTGGCAGTCATGATTGTTTACCTCTGGATAGGTGCGCCATGTGAAACCATGTGAAACAACGTGAGGCATTATTCTTACGCGCATGCGGATCAGTTTAGGAGCATTATCTGCTCAGACTAATGTTGCATACAGTTCACACTTAAAGATAATATGAATAGCTAAACAAAAAAAATCGGATTTGGTGAGAAAATCAGATTTGGGCCACTTCTACCTGCCGTGTGAACATAGCCTTAAAACATGACCCTCATACTCGAAACACCCTTCCATTTGCATTGAGTTTCTTTGGAGTTTTAAGTTGATTTCTATATATTTCATTTATTTGTTCCACTGAAAAAAGGAATGTATTGAATTTATTTGATTCAGATGTGCACATCATTTCCACATGTAAATATTTTACTCCAGCACAATTATTGTCAAAAATAAGTACATTAAAAGACAAAATTATGCTGACACAATGCAATACAGTGCAAAGGTCAGAGACAACTTTTACTTTTTCATTTCCAGCCAAAATAGCCATAGTTATTTTCATGGGACTTGTAAACCACCAGAACTGTCACCATCAGATAAACAGTACTTAACGCTTTCATCTTTGAGAGAGAGGAGAAAATCAAACTCCACTCTTCCTTCAGATCTGAGAAAATCCACAGGTGTTTCTCTCCATCTTTCCACTGTGAGAAGACAATTCAGCATTGGTCTGAAAGGATGTCTAGCTGTCAATTTTGCAAGTCCTACATATTTGCAAACTATACTAAGAAGCTGCTGGTGTTCTCAGAACAATGGACTGACCAGATCTCAACATCACTGAATGTGTTTGGAAGTACATGGATTGTGAGAAGCAGAAAATGCAGCCAACTCTTAAGACTGAACTTTGGAGGTGTGAAAACCATCCCTGCAGATTTCTTTGAAAAACTGAAAATGAGTCTCCCAAAAAGAGTGGAAGCTGTGAAGAAGGCAAAGGGTGGACATACTACATATAGACAAGTTTTCTGTTATATTGAGTGGTTAGATGTAATTATCTGTTAATTACATGTTTTTCTGTTTTATATCCTGATGCTGAAAAATGAATAACTTGTACTTAATGGCCATTTTCAATAGAAATTAAATAAATGACAGGGAATGTCTTTAACTCTTGCATAGGACTGTATGTGGAAATGATGTGCATGTTTAAATCAGTACAGTGCATTACTTTTTTCAGTGTAGATATCTTGTGTTTGCTTTTGTTTTAGAGATTTAATTTCTGACCACTGCCATTCTGATTTATGTTTTTCCTTTTGTACTTAAACAGAACCATATGGACAGAATGCAGGTATATACCATTTCATGTAGAGACCTTGAAACATCCTACATCATCATTACTCTTTATTTTTTGTTTGTTTAACGTAAATCATCCGTTTCTTTGCTAACTCCATCCAGAGGCTACACAGTCTTCTTTAAATTATAATTATGAACTGATATATGTTCTAAAAGAACCAGCCTGATTAAGTAGCCAGTTATTAATTGCTGAGCAAAGTGAACGTTCCCCCTGGTTATAACCTAGCGTGCTCTTATCATCTTAGCTTGTCAGCAGAATTTTGCATCAGGACCTTGTTGCCTGGGTGAAACTCAGGGCTGCTTAAAGTATGTTTCTTATCTACATTGTGGTATGGTTAGATAATGGTTTTACCACATATCAGGGGGTTTTATAAGCCTCTTATGTCTGTGCCACATGTGGCATTGTTACTTAAGAGTACTAATATGCAGCTGTCATTGCCTGCAGTAAAGCAGTTTCTTTGCACAGAGCAGCTTTTGCAAGGAAAGTCGAGGCTCATGTGGGAACACAAACAGTAATTGGCTCTACTTATGATTGAAACAGCTTAAATCAGTATTGTCCTTGCACAAAATATTAGAATCAGCATACTGAATAGTAAATACTTACATTATAATGTACAGAAGTGTAATAATAAATAAATAACTGTTAGTAAAATTAAGTTACAGTGATTGATGTTTAATGTCTTTTCCTGTTCTCTCATTCCACTGCTTCGCCGAATCTTGAAGGTCAAAGTTCAAGACTTGGAACAGAAATGGCGGTCTCAGAGTGCTAAGTGTAATATTTTGTCTAAAGAGCTGGAGAAATTTCACCTGGAGTCAGACACTGAATTTCCAGCTTCTGATCCTCAGCATTCGCCGCACAAAGCACTCCGTAACTTTCTGAACGACCTGCATAGTCACACTGGGAAAGGTAGGTTTTTTAAGATTACTATAGCTTCACTCTGTCCTCATTACAGCATAACTAGGTTTCAGTTGATTTCAGTGTGATTTCAGTGGTCATTCCTGATAATCAGCACCACAGACAAAGCTTGCATGATGAGTTAATAATGTAATAAGAAAAATAGTGCACACATTCATATTGGTTGCATGTGAAAACAGTGATGACTACTAGCACTAAGCCTTCAGTTCAGGCCATAACAGTGAAAACTAGGTTAAAACGAGGAAAAAAAAAACACCTCTATGACAAAGCTTATATCTGCTAGCACCCCTAAAGGATTCTAGTAGTATGTTAGCACTATGCTAACAGCAATTCACATTTGTTCTAGATTAAACACAGACATTTGAAGCTTCTACACCACATTCAATGTTTTATTTGAAGCTTGTATCTGGAGGTAGCCGACATGGCAAGAATGTGACATTATGATACTTTCAGATGTTTTCGCGATATACGATAAGTCATAATATTTTTATTATTTAAAAAACACTGTCAAAAACTATGAATCCAGTTATTTGTATTTAACATTTCACACACTGTGTTGCACTAAATCCAATCAACCCCTTAAAGTCCCAGGCTATATTACATACTAAGGCTTATTATTCAGTAACTACACAGGCTTCAGTGCAAACTGTTTGAGCTATTCATAGGTTATAGAAGTGTGTAATAAAACTTTGAGCCTGCCGGCAGAATATTATTGATTACAATAATGATAAATATTGTCATACTGCAGAGCTCTGTTGTAACAGACATAATAACATATATTTTACACTGTATTTAGCAGTTTGACTGTTTCAATATGGAGCCCCAACATAGACTGTTTTCCATTACTAACATCTGACTGAAACCAGATTAGACTGCTGCTCTGCTGCTCTTATTCACAGTCATTGACATTGATCTTTTTTTTCACAGTCAGTGACGTATCTAGGACTTCCTGAAGACCCACAGTGACATTATTTCTCACTAAATTGGTCCCATCTGTCGTTAATCAGACCAATCCAATCAATTAATCAAATAAGTTGATTCTGCTGTCAGTTCCTAACTATACTAGCAGTTAATCAGACACATTAGGCCTTCAGTTCAGCTCCTAAAGGCCAAACCAATGGGAGAGCTCACTTTGCTTTATCTACCTAGATTATCGAGTGAAAAACAGTTCAAATAGGACAGTTTCCGTTGAGTGTTTCAAGAATTTAACGCTTATGTTTCAAACAAATACTTAAAAATTAAATAAAAGTAGTACAATACTTGCAGAGTGTAAATGCAACATGCATGATGATTCCATTAAAAAAAAATCCAAAAATGACATGTATTTTTCAATCATTAAGCTTCTCTGTGGGTCTAGAACGCCCTGAGGGTTCCCCTCTGTATGAATAAAACACAGTTGCTGTCTTTCATTTTACTTGCTTTCCACAATAATGGTGTTGATGTACTATGTTTTATTCATGCGCACCTGGTGAACACATTAAAATCAGATAAATCAGACGCACTGTTTTTTTCAGTCACCACAGTTTAGGAAATCTGTTTCTGTAAGCCCAGAATCTGCTGCTGTATTGCTGAGGAGACTCAGCACTCTCTTACTTGGACGACATCCCTTAAAGCACGTGGAGGTGCTTAGCATTGTCATTCATTATTTCGTAGTAATTAAAACCTGTCAGAGTAGTGACCTTTTGAGCAAGCCAGCCATGAAGAGACAGCAATGAAGCATGACAGAGTTAATGTGGCGGTCTTATCAACATGAGCAGGTCACATTTCAGAGAAACGCATCAGTTCAGGTGACTAGTAGCATACATTACCTGTCAAAAGTTTGGGGACACATTGCCCTCTTTAGAATGTAAAATGCATGCAAATATTTTATTAAATAACCCATATCCTACATTTTTCTTGTTGTATATTTTTTCTCTCAGGTGCACTGATGACATTTATGTGGGTTTATGTACCAAAACACTCATAATTAATTTGTACATGACTATTTTCCCACCTTTCTTTATCCCTTAGAATGAAACAGAATGATATTGTTACTGCTTTGTCCCTTTTAAGACTAAAAATAACTGTTCTGATAGGCTGCCTTGTATTGCTTCATTCCAGAAGCAGTCTGGGTTGGAAGACTACTTATAACTTCAAGATGAAGGGGCGAGGCTATATTTATGCATTGGTTTTGTGGCATGACAGAAACAATGAATTCAAAATGACCAATTTTTGCCACTGGTTTCCATATGTGGACTGTGTAGACAGGGGGATGAAAGAATGTTAACATACTGTATCTGATTTCTACTAAAACCTACAAAAATGTATTGAAATACATTAATTTCCATGATATGGGCCCTTTACCATAAAACAGCTACTTCTCAACAGTGTTCATAAGAATGTCATCTGTGGTTTGAAGAGTAGGTTGTTTAAATCATGACTTTATTTTTCAAACTGCTGTTAAAAACACATATTAAAAAAAATCTTTTTCCCCCGAAAGTGGTTTAAACATTGAAATGTTGGGGAATAGCACTGTTTCTGAGGCAGTACTGTCAAAAATATTGTCATAAATATATACATGTGTTATATAATTCCTCACGAGGACTCTAGTTTGGTCTTGAACCATAAGCAGTTGAGAGATATTACTTTCATTTTGCAGTACTATTCAAATTGAATTATTAATTTAATTACATAAGGGGCTATGCTTTCACATTCAATTATCTACACCTCCAGCTTTTGCTGTTTATTTTGAGTTCAAGAAATGACAAAGATGTGTCAAAAACAGACTCGACCAAAAGATTGTACACACAACTATTTTTTTCAAACTATGATAAAATATCTCCTGTAATACTTGCATAAAATGTTATAATTACAATGGAAATTTACACCATGCTTTTGTTATTGCCAGTGTTAACTGTTATTTCCCATAGTTAGTTATGTAAAAATGTTGCAAACCAACAAACAATCCATGCTCATTTTCATTTAAAAATATTTTGAAAAGCTCGGTGTCCCCAAACTTTTGACAGGCTGTGTTATGTCAATCATAAGAGACTCGAACAGTCATGAGATTAACCTGAATGAAAGAGGCACAGTTGGAGCTGCAGCTTGGTATTTTGCTCACAATAGTAAGTCGACTCCTGTCTGCATGATTTATGACCCTCTCTAAATGAATGAAATTAGTTTCAGTGCATTTCCTCTTTGTGTGAGTGATGTGGCTGAGGGAAACGTTATCTCTTCCATTACTCTAACTCACAGCAGCTCTCTGGGAGCGACACGCAGGTACTTCAGAGCCCTTGCTCACCATCTCCTTAAACACAAATGACTGTGCCACAGTGGACAGGCAGTGATTGACAGGCACTGGCGTTTGGGTGTGTAACTCTATGTTGTGCAGGTGATGAGAGATCTGCAGGCTCTCCGCTAATCTCTGAGCTCCTCCAGCCACTGCAGGTCAGCAGAGACAGGCCCGAGCTGCCGGTCACCAAACCCGCCGTCCACGCCCTGAGCCTCTCCAGGAGACCCCTGCCCACAAGCCCCTCAGAGGTGCGTCCATATGGTCTGCTCCTGCACAGACAATGCATACTTCACACTTAGGGTGAACAACTCAGTTAACACAGAGTCATCAGCCCTTTGAATGACTCATCTCTTTTAAAGGGCCCATATCATGAAAAGTGAATTGAAGTAGAAGAGTGTGATGTGGTCTGCGCACAGTAGTTTCTAAATGCTCACTCATCATTCACTCTCCAGATTATACAGTCCATATGTGGAAATTAAGCTGCAAAAACAGCCTGTTTTAAATTAAATGTTTTTGTGATGTCACAAAAACCAAAACACTCACACTTATCCACCTATTCATCTTACTGCAGTTTTGCTCCACCCGTTCATGCAAAAGTTTCAGTCCTGACTGATGTTCGAATGAGGGCAGTACAGGTCAGACTACAAAGTACAGGACAGCCAATCAGAACAGAGATATTTACATATACAATTGTATGCAAAAGTTTGGGTGCACTTGGTGAAATTGCATGTTTTGTTGTTTTTAGTACACATCCTCTACAGAGAACTCTATTCTGCACATTTTAATGTACAATTACTGTTTATTTACTGAAGTTAATATATTGGGAAACATAAAATACATAAAATGTGGCCTGTGCAAAAGTTATGGCACATTTATTTTTTTCCAATATGTTAAACTCAGCAAATAAATAGAAATTTGAAGAAAACAGCCATTTAAGATTGTTCCCTGTAGTGTGTTAACTTATTTTTACTTCAACGAAACGTAATCTGAGCAGGGGTGTTCAAACTTTTGCACTGACTGTATCAGTCTTAAAAGCACAGTAGCAGACAAATCCTTTTTTAATTTTAAGGGATACAGAGAGGTTGGAATGTGGTCATGTAACGATTAAGTTTTTGGCACATAAACCTACCCAAGCATAAGTAAGTGGACCTGAGGGAAAATTAAAATACAAGAAAAATGTAGGGCTTGACCCTTTAATAACCATTTGCCAGTGCTTTTTTATTATTCTTTTTATTAATATTCTTTTTATTTTGTTTGTGTTTCGATCTAACATGAGCATGAAACAAATGCCCAGGAGGAAAACATGCTTCCCCAGACACCATCAAAGGGTCGACAATGAAGGCAGCATGATGCTTCTTTTAATTAGTGATAGTAGAACGATCCAATTCCACATGCATTTCACTGTGGCAAACATGGACAGACATGCATCGTAACTACTCTGGCAGCAGACTTTAGTGAGATAAAGTGAACAAATCCAAACTCTGAATGTGTCTTCGGTCATATAATTGTTGAGATAGGCTTACTTTTCTCTTTATGTTTAGATGCTTAACATGTTTTAGTGGTGATCCTCATGGGAAGCAGAATGATTATAGGGAGAGAGAGATAAGGCATGATGGGAAGTGCTTTACGGAGCGGATACTGTATTTCGCTTAATTTAATTCTCATCCATGTTTTAATGTTATTTGTTTACAGTAAAAAAATGCAAAAGAACGCATTTACCTTATGTTGCCGTAATCTGCTTCCATCTCTACAATTAGATCCAAATGAGTAACCACACATCAGATGTTTGGTTAACAAGCATGGGATAATCTGCCTGGAATCGCAAGTCAGCAAGAGAATTTATTGTTATATAGTCGCGCTGCACACTAAATGCCTGACGGCCTGAAACTGATTTTATGATTGACAGTGTTATAAACAGATAATAATTATGCATTGTTGTACATGAGATCATACATGATTCAAAGCCATATCTAAGACTGCATACAGTATGTGGGGTTCATATCTATGGCAATAATAGCGTGCTTTTTAATGGTCTGGTTAGAAGATACTGTACTGTACACAATCTGTTCTGGTTGTAGATGGATGATGAGGTGAATCCCGCTCCCAGGTCCAAGGCTCGATACACAGGACAGGTCCGTCTGTGCACTGCCCGCTACAGGTGAGAGTGAAGGGGTTGTTTCAGTAATCTTCTGTTGTGAATGACTGGCACCTATTGATCCACCTAAGAATAGCTCAACTAATTTGCACTGAAGTCCCTGTAGTTACTGAATTATAAGCCTTAGTGTGCAACAAGCCTGGGATTTTAAGGGGTTAATGTACCTATTAATGTCTAGTCTATAATATTTAAGTCTGCACAATGTATTATAGTTCGTAAAATATAAAAAAATGAAAACTATTCAACAGTAGTGAAGTGGACACATTCTTGGCCAGACTAGAAATTTAAAAATACATTCAAGCATTTTCAATATTTATTGGTTATTCACTATTCTTTCTTGGTCTGTCTCTCTTTTTCTCTGCCCTAATGTTCTTCTCCCTTCTCCATTTTCTCCCTTCCTCTGCTCAGTTATAATCCCTATGATGGACCCAATGAGCATCCAGAAGCTGAGCTCCCTCTTGTTGCTGGGAAGTATCTCTATGTGTATGGAGACATGGATGATGATGGATTCTATGAAGGTAAGCCACATTTGGCCTACATTTTTGATTAGGTAATCAATGCTTGGGATTATGCCAGTAGTATGATTTCTAAAATTCGGTTAAAAGATCATTGATTTAAGATGCTTGTTTTTAAATGCTGTTAAATATCCAAGACCTCTGGGGATTTGGTTACATATTAAGTAAATAAAGATGTAAAGTTTGTCATTTTTCAGCATGAAGCAGATTTTAAAGAAGTAATTCTCCCAAATGAATCACTGGCAGATTATGTCGCAGATTGGCAGGGTTGCTAATTTGTCACTCGCCCTGCGGCTGGATGACCGAGTGAAAAAACACTCTCGAAAGTGCCCTTTCACTGAGTCATTTAGGCTGTTTTTTTTAATGGTTTCCTTTGTACTAATTATATGCTCTATTTTTGGCGGTTAACATTTGCAGCAGGCATGGTTTAAAGCTGGAGCTGTAAATTGTTTCATCCTGATTAGTGTCAGTACTGTGAGCTGCAGCAGTTTGTTTCAGATACAGATCTGGGAGAATAGCATGGGATATTTGTTGCTTAATATATCATATTAACTGTAGCATGTGCTCAGATGAAAAACCATTTACGTAACATGATCTATGGTGTTTGTAGTGAGTCATCTCCTGTGAGTCAGAGCTTTTCTTCTCTGTTTGTTGCAGGAGAGCTGCTGGATGGCCAGCGAGGCCTGGTCCCCTCCAATTTTGTTGAATTTGTCCAGGACAAAGAGAAGCCGTCTGTGGATGGGGCAGAGGAGCTGGGCCAGCTGGAGCATGGCTGTCTGAGCCTGACCGCCATAGATGGAGGCGTTTCCCTGGACAGCTTAAGCACGGACCCCCTTGGCCCCTGCAGTAACGGAACTGGGGCTCTGGATGCTGAGGAGCTGAGCGACGACATTGTGCCTTACCCAAGGAAGATCAACTTAATCAAACAGCTGGCCAGGAGCGTCATAGTGGCCTGGGATCCGCCTCTGGTCCCCCTGGGCTGGGGGAACATTAACGGGTACAACGTCCTAGTTGATGGTGAGGTTCGTTCCACTGTGCCCTTTACGGCCAGGACCAAACTACTTCTGGAGAAGCTGGACCTTGCTGCCTGCACCTACCGTGTGTCAGTGCAGAGCGTGACGGACCGAGGACTATCAGATGAGTTGCGCTGCACTATGCTGGTGGGCAGAAACGTTACAGTGGCCCCAACAGGCCTCCGCCTGGACGATATCATGCGCGACTCTGCGGAGCTCTCCTGGCTCCCCAGCAACAGCAACTATTCCCACACAGTGTTCTTAGATGGAGTGGAACATGCAGTGGTCAAACCGTGCTGTTATAGACTACGCTTTACCAACCTAAAGGCCACCACAGTCTACAAGGTTAGAGTGGTGGCCAAACCTCATCAAGTACCCTGGCACATGCCTCTGGAGCAACGCGAGAAGAAAGAGGCTGGGGTGGAGTTCTGTACCCAGGCTGCAGGTCAGGAATACCACATGCCATGATCTCTGACCACAAGTAACTGGTCCAGCAGATACTCAACACAAAAATTTAAGAGTTTCTATTTGGCCATTCATTTCACAGCATGTCCCAAAGTACTTAACATAGCTACTTTTACTGACCACAGGGGCATTCTGACCTAAAACTACAAACAAAAAAAGCTGGAACAGTATATGAAATGTCAATAGAAATAGAAAGCAGAAATTTTGTTTGACAGTACAAAGCACAATATTTGATGTTTGAACCTTATAGTTGTTTTTTGGAAAGATATGCTCATTCCAAATGTGATGCCTGCAGCATATCCCAAAAAAGTTGTGACAGGAGCATGTTTGCCCCTGTATTACATCACCTTTTCTTTTAACAACATTTAATAATCATTTGAAGAATCACCAAATAATCCAGTTTTGAAAGTTAATTTTTTGCCATTCCTCCATTATGCAGGTCTTCAGCTGGGCAACTGTACATGGCCTTTGTTGCATTTTGCACTTTATAATGGGCCACCAGTTTTTAATTGGAGGCAGGCAGTCTAGCACCTGCACTGTCTGAATACACAGCCATTCTGTTGTAACACATGCAGAATATGGCTTGGCGTTGTCATGTTGAAATATGCATGGACATCCCTGAAAAAGACAGCATCTAAAAGGCAGCATATGTTGTTCCAAAATACTTTTATATCTTTCATTTTTAATGGTGCTTTTACAGATGTTACTTACTCATACATCCTCATACCATGACAGACCCTGACTTTGGGACTTTATGCAGGTAACAAACTGAATGGTCCTTTACTTCTTTGGCCCAGAACACACCCTATTTATTTTCTGGATTCCCTGAATCTTTTGATAATATTATGCACCAGAGTGGATGAAATATCTAAAATCCTTGAAGAACACAGATCTTAAACAGTTGGACTATTTGGTCGTGCATTTTTTGGCAAAGTGGTGAGCTTTGACCCACCCTCATAAAGGACAAGTCCTGGAATGTGTTGCATGCATCAATTACATAATGAGTTTAGATGTTCAAAAACAATGAAGTTGACAAGGTAAAACATCACATATCGTGTCTTGTGTTGTTTTTGTTTGAATACAGATCAAAGTGGATCTACAAAACACTGCTTTCTGTTTTTATTTGTATTTTACCTTCCAACTTTTTTGAATTTGAGTTTGTAGCATTTAATATGTTGTCATGTTATATGATGTTCTGTAGTACAGCATTACATTTATTGCACTACAGTACCCATCATGCATTACATTCGGCTTCCTAGCAGTAATGTTGACTTTCCCTCTGACCTTACGTATTTGCCCCAAAGCCCTTGTAGTTCTTGAAGAATTCCTCTCACCTTCAAGATAAATCATCAGAAGTGAGTTTTTCGAGTCTTTAAACCATAAAAATCTCACCTTAGAGACTTCAGCACCTCTGTAGGAGGCGAGTAGGCATGTTTACAACACGTTTAGTAATGATTACATTTTTTAGTGCCACTTAAAGCTTCAGCTAAAGTGTGGTGAACTTGGCGCGACTGGCCCATGCTAAAATTTATGTTTAATAATACAGTGGTGCATAAGTTGTCTAAAATAGTATTGAGAGGTTTGTCGTCCACAGACGTAAGAGTCTTTATTTTTAGCCTGACATCAACTCTTCATTATATCCAAACTTTGATCAGTGTTGGAAAGTTCCAAAGTACTTAATAATAATGTAACTTTATAATTGAGCTTAGTAGAGCATGCAAACTGCAAAAAAGATTGAAATAGATCACAAAATAGTTCATACAACAATTAATAATTTTATATTAATGTTCAGAAAGTAATTTCCTCTTTAACAGCATTTGCATATTAACAGCTGTCTGTTGAGTGAGACTCATTATTGCTGCATTTCAGTGATTTCCTGAATTAGCTTAATCATTGCTTCTTCATGCACAGCATCCAAAATGTAGATGAAGTTGAGGTTGGCGTCTTGTTTGCCAACTTCTTATTCAAATTTTTTGTTCTACCTTAAATGGTGCAGCAGTTACATTTTGTCGCCTCATAGTCCAGTGACCTCCAAGGCCAACCACGATTAACTCAGTAGCCCTAAAATGCTTTTCTTCTCTGCCAAAGTCGTAACACATTTGTATATTGTGAAGAACATCACACCCGTGCACAATCTTTCAGCCGTAAAGATTTACTGTTCCATCTGAATGTCCATGTTGCTGCATGCTTGAATTCAGATGTTTCCCCTCTGCCTGGTATATGCACTGAACCAAGAGGAACACTCTGTTCCAAACCACACTGATTCATTTAGGCTCAATGTGCAACTGACTGTGTTATCTGTCCCCTCTAGGGCCCCCTCTTCCACCCCATGAGGTACAAGTCCAGTGTGGTCAGGCCCCAGGGATTCTCCAGGTCCGCTGGAAGCCCCCTCCATTAACACCCATAGGGACTTCCAATGGTGCTAACGTCATTGGCTACGCAGTATGCACCAAGGGCCAGAGGGTGAGGGCATGAATCACTGCACAATAGTCATTCCCAGTCACATTTATGTAATACATCCACACTGCACACCACACTGCACATCAACAGTCTGGAGCACTGAAAAATCTTTTGCTGAAAAGTCCTTTTTGAAAAATTCTGCTCATATAAAACATGCTATTGCCCTCTGCTGGAGAAGATGAGTCATTACAACTGTTCACTTTGCAGTAGTACTTTTTAAGCAACATGAGCATTTTTGACTGAACAAGATCATTTAATACTATCAGTATCTGTACTGTGTCAACCTACTGTCTAATGCAAAAGTTTGCAAAAGTTTTCTTGATTTTCTAAGTGCAAAAAAGTTAGTTAATCCTCTCCAGGGAACGCAATTCTGCATACTTTAATACATAATTACTGTTTATATGCTGAATTTAGTATATTTGCAAAAGAAGTACATGTAACCTGTGCAAAAAAGTTAATCACTTTTATATTTTATATTTTTTTTCAATATTTTAAACTGTGTGTTCAAACTTTTGCATACGACTATGTTTTCTAAATTAATTCACACATTAAATAAGATGTTCATCAACCCTTTAAATTCTAGACTTACATTTAAAAAAGAAGGCACAAAAAAGTTCTTTGGGCAATGCCATAAAAGAACCACTTTTGGTTCCCTGAAAAACATTTTTAAAAGAGAGTGGAAAGAATGTTTTTGAACATTTAAAGAACCTTTAAGCATTTAAAAGGCTTAAAAGGTCATTTAAAGGTTCCATATCAAATGAAGGGTTCCTCTAAGAACTTTTGCATGTTTTGGAGCTTGTTTAAACTTTAAAAACTATTCTTCACATCTCATTTAAGAAATTAACCATCCATTGAAATGTTTCTTCTAGTTCTTCTATGGTATCACATAAAGAACTGTTTTGTTTTTTTATACTTCTATTGTTCAGTTAATGACCCTTCAAAGCCAAAACTTCTTACTTTTTTGCTGCTCTTCAAATGTTATTCAAATTTAGTTACAGGATTATGTATTTAACTAAATAATGATTTGCACAATAAGTTACTTTTACATTCAATTCACATTCTGTATCAACAGTTTTAAGTCTTGGCTTCATAGGGTTAAAAAAAAGTATCAAAAAGGGTTGTTAACCCTTCAAAGCCAAGATGTATTATTGTTTTTGCTATTGTTTAAATCTAATTTAAATTTTACATATTTAGCTAACTTATGACTTGCGCAATGAGTTACATTTACATTCAATTTACTATTTCTAAGTCTGCACTTCTGACTTTTTTTTTGTCAAGCAATGTCAAACACATTCCAAGAACGTAAAGAATGTTTTGCATATCCAAAAACAGGACCATATGTTTTTACCTAATTTAAATCATTATAAAAGATCTCCTCTTTTCTTACAAACACAAACATGGATTGCTTTGAAAAAAGTCTAGAAACCCCACTTTTGACACAAGTTCTCCACAAGCGATAATTAATACAGCATGCTTTTGTTATTATCTTTAGGCTTATCATTCAGGAACTGCTATAAATTATTCCATAATTACTATAAAAGCAGTTATGTAATGTAGTTATGATATGTAATAAATGGATAAGACTGTAAAGAATGACAGCCTTAACCTGATGACTGTGATTATATTCTGATATTCTGTTTATTGACTTTCTGCTTTTAGATCGCTGAGGTGTTGTACCCACTGGCAGATTTTGCAACAGTGGAACTGAACCGGCTCCAGTGTTTGGAGGCTCGTGAGGTGGTGGTCAGGACTTTATCAGCACAAGGGGAATCGCAGGACTCCCATGTCGCCGTCATTCCTAACAACCTGCTTGTGCCTCTTCCCCAAGCCCTTCCTCCACCTCACCACATCCAGTCGCCTCTTCCACACCAGCCGCCCCAGCCCCTGCCCCCACGCCCAGCACTTCCACCCTCTATTCAGCCTCTTCCCCCTCTCACCGGCCCACCTCAACCTCATGCCCATCTCCAACCTCTCCCTGTTCACCCAAACCAGCCATCCTCTCATCTACAGCCTCATCCTATGCCCCATCCCACTCAGCCATCTCCTCCACACCTCCAGCCTCTACCCCCTCACCCGTTTCCCCAGCCTCAGCCCACCATTCCAATCCCCCAGCCCACCATTCCAATGCCCCAACCCCATATCCCCCAGCTACCCCTTCCTCAGCCCCAGAGACCACTAAGTGCCAGAGAGCTGGAAACCAAAGAGCAGGGGCCAGGCATGCTTCATCCTGCTGGGGGTCCACCCCAGCCATGGGAGCCCGTCTGTTCTCCGTCCGGCTTGCCCCCGGCCCTGCCGCATGGACACACACTAGAGGCCCCGCCCTGCCCCAACCGCCGCTCACCTTCTCCTCAGAGGATCCTCCCGCAGCCCAGAGGCACTCTCATCCCTGACAACATGGCAAAGGCCATCGCCCGGGAGGCTGCCCAACGAGTGGCTGCAGAAAGTGGACGGGTGAGTGTCCTCTGTGATTCCAAGCTTTTGAATGGTAGTGTACACACTGATACTTCCTATGAGTGCTGTTCTGAGAGACTTTATGTAGGGACACGATTAAAAATCATGACACACCACAAAAGAAAAGCAGGCTGTGGTTATTGAAGTCTCTGAAAGTATTTTGCCATATCTAGATGGAGAGGAGAAGTCAGGGCTTTCACTCTCAGAACTCAGATGAGGAGGAGGATGAGGAAAGCTATCAGTCCCGCAGAAGAGGAGCATCTGTGGATGACTTCCTCAGGGGCTCAGAGCTGGGCAGGCAGGTACGGGAGCTGTGGGGTGGCACTGATCAATATGATTTAGTTAGAGACTACTAACACTGTCAGAACTGAATCCTCAGGTTGAGTGTGGCTGGTTTTGTGCTGAGTTTTGAAATACTGTATTTTTGCCTCAGTCCCACTACAGCCACAGTGAAGAGTACCAGACAGAAAGCAGTCGCGGTTCAGACCTGTCTGACATCATGGAGGAAGATGAGGAGGAGCTGTACTCAGAGATGCAGCTGGAGGAAGGGCGACGGCGCAACTCGCACAATGCTCTTAAGGTGGGTTCAAGTATACTACAGGTGACACAGCCATCATAAGTATGGGTGAAAAAGTCAGCACAGCTGAAAATTTAATAAAAGCCAGGCCTTTTCTTGAATTGTATTGCTAATGCATGGCAGTATTTGAAAATAATTTATATCAGATATCAGAGAGAAAAAATTCTCTATTTCCATTTGTAACAAATAGCACACTCAATTGTGTTATGAAATAGCACACATACCTCACGTCGTGTTTCTGTGTATTTCTTCCTGTAGGGTGTTTGAGTGGTTTGATTGTGATTATATATGTTTAGATGATCATCTTAAGTGAAGTACTATAATGAAAATAGCTTCTTTTAAAGCTTAATAGTGTGTAAAGTAAAAAGAGGATCTTTGTCTGTATTGGCTATCAGGAAGCTGTTGCTGAGAAAGGGACATTTGAGACCTCAACATCATTGAGCGTGCTTGGGATTATTTGGATTGTGAAATAAAAATGCAACCAACTTCTAAGACTGAACTTTGGAGGTGTGGAAAAATGTCCCTGCAGAATTGTTTAAAAAACTGACAGCACGTCCCCTGAAAAGAACGGAAGCTGTAATTAGAGCAATGGGTGGACACACTGAATACTGAAAAATGATATTATATTTAGTTATTATATTTAGATATTGTCTTGGTATTTTATTTTATATTTAGTTGTGTAATAATATGTTAAATATATGTTTTCTGCTTTTTCCTGACTCTGCAAAATCAATAACTTTCTGGCTGGAAATTAATGAAAATAAGTGACTTTGCACAGTACTGTAGAGTCTGTGGCTGCATCTAAAATTTAATGCTTTTGGTCTAATTGGTAGGCCAAAATAGTACTCCAACAAATAAGCGTGTCCAAAAACAACCTGTTCATCAAATTGTAGGCAAACGGCACTTGCATGCTGTGCTACATCTGATCAAAATCTGATTCTTATGAATACTCAACAGTAATCAATCCTGTAACTTCAGAATTACTTAAGAAGAAAGACATTCTTAATAGTCTTTTAAACAGTCTATAATAGTCTATTTGCATTTTCTCTTGTGGTTTAAGGTTGGAGGGAACACATCATCTTCTGGACGGCCGGATCGCGACTCAGGCCGGAGGCCAGCTCACGGAGTTCCTCAGCCCCAGAGAAGACCCCTCATGGTGCCCTCTATTGGTCAGTGGACTCCCAGTCGGAACATGGAGCAGATGTTCTTTGTGCCCCCTTAAATGTCCTGCTCAACATTTCATCGTAGATGTTAGGATGTGAGAACCTCTGTGGGCTCCTCAGTGAATGCTGATCACCCTTGTGTCTGAACCATGTTCATGTTCTGTCAGCCCTTTAAAGAGCTTCACATGATACAATTCCTGTGGGTCTGAAAAGTTTTATTTAGCTCAAATTAGAAGTTCCCTAAATTAGCACCTTAAAACCTCATATTTCTTCATATCTGAGGCACCTGCATAGTTCTCCAAGACCTGCAAGACTGAGGTGACTGATAAGGCCAATGCAGCGGAGGGTTGTGTAGCTTGTGCATGGTAACAGCTCTTTGATTGGTGTTTCCCTCAGAGATAACCACTGAGAGTAACAGTGAGGGGAACCTCTCTCCGGTCATGGAGGATGTTTACTATGGCAGTGTAGCGCGGCACAGGACATGGTCCTCACGGAGGCACAGGGGCCACAGGCCTCCCTATGGTACGTGTTGCAGCTCCTCGCTCTACCAAAGCACACTCGGTGCAAGCCGAGAAAGAGGAGAGAGAAAGAAGTGGTCTGGGACAAAATGCCTTTAAGAGCCTTGATTTGAAACGCATGAGCCACTGGACTGCACCGAGATGGAGGCTTGTGCTGAGGCGCAGTGATCCACACTAGCTGTAAGATGGTTGTCCACCACAGTAGAGTGTTTGCTTACTGCTCAGAGAATGTTCCTACCCCCTTTGCACTGACCTGCCATGAGTTGCCTGCTAAACCCTTCCCCTTTTCAACTTAAACACACCCATAATTTTTACTTTTGTCTGTGCATGATTGGGTGGTAAAAGTTAAGGGTGGTGCCTTATGCCGAATGCGGATTGCTAGCTAATCCATGTCTAGAATTTGCCTTTCACAAACTGCAGTAGCATATCCAAATTCAACACTTTGCGTCAGCTGTAGATTCACCATTCCAGAATGCATATTGGGCATGTTTGCCCATTCCTCTTTGGCAGTAAATGCTGAAAAAACAGGTACAACTTTATCCCTGACTAATCATGCCCATCTGATTGGTCTCTCTCAGGTCCAGCTTACTGCATGGTTACAGTAGCCCAGACTGTGTGTATATTCCTGTCTCTGTCTTTGTTATGTCTGTTGGGCTCTCAGCGAAGCACATATTTGGCTTGCTGCTCGTGTGTAATGTGTTGCCATATGGGTGCACTACCCCCACACTCCATACCCATTTCATTACAGCGTCTATGGTTTGTCTGTTAACCCACTCAAAAAGCAAATAGTGATAAAACAGTAATGGACTGAGCACATTGCAAGTGTGATTAGAAAAGTGTAAAGCACTAACACTCAGTCCATTGATCTGAATTACTGCATGGTCATTTGAACAAGTGCAAATGACTTCACCTTAAATGATGGTATGCCAATCTATCTTTGATCATACAGATTGCTTAAATACTTGAACCTATACATATATCAGTACTCAAAAGTTTAAATGGATGGTTCCTCATCAAGATTTTTGCTAACACTACTTAGGAGCTTCATAACACATACATAATCCTTGAATAACATACTGAAACATCAATAACTGAGCATTTATAAAGTTGTGTCAGTGTTGGCAAGACATTTGCTCCATTTGTAACGCTATTATGAGGCATCATTCCCAAGTAACCTAGAGCTTGTATGACATACACCACATACCGCATGTGTTTATATGAATGATTTGACTTTTAAAATAGTCATTTTCTTTCATGTTTTGCCTCTCGTCAGCTTGCAAATACTGACATGAACTGTTCCTAAATACTCAAGTATTGTTTGCAGCCTTTTCATATTTTAATTATTAAATTGGATAGATACATTTGTCTGATGTTATGATGGGGGGGGGGTGTTTGAATCATATAACCTATGGCGTTCCCACTTCAGAACATCCCTTCCCATCTGTCCCATCCAAATTTCAAGCGAAACGTACGCCTATGGCTTTTTACGTGTTATTCACTGCTTATGTATGTGCCATGAAGTCATATAAGAAACCTTCAAATACAGTCATCACCATGTCAATATAAATGTTTAAGTTTTCAGTCTATCCACCCTGTTTTAGATGGTTATAGGGATCGTGGCCGGCGTTCTCCTCCATACTACGATGAATCCGAGCCTGAGGACCCATTCCGAATCTTCGTAGCGTTGTTTGACTATGACCCCCTCTCCATGTCCCCAAATCCGGACGCAGCTGACGAGGAGCTTCCTTTTAAAGAAGGACAGATTATCAAGGTAAGGCGAGCAAGAGCCATCCGGCCGCTTCTTGTTGTGGATTATATTATTTTCATTTGGTGGGACTGAGGATTTGGATGAACGGATTTAAACTGATAATGTTTGACCGTCAGGCTAGGGCGGTATAATGACTGCTGTGCACTCTGTTCAACCTCTCTCTCTGTCTTTATGTCTGTCTCAGGTGTACGGGGACAAGGACACTGATGGGTTTTATCGGGGGGAGATCCGCGGCCGGTCCGGCCTCATTCCATGTAACATGGTGTCAGAGATTCGAGCGGAGGATGAGGAGACTATGGAGCAGCTGATGAAGCAGGGCTTTCTCCCACTAAACACTCCTGTGGACAGAATAGGTATTGCATCATCTCTGACAGCGAACGTTGGACATATCAAAGGATGAGTTTTTAGAACCCAAATGAGGAAATTTATAAGGGGGCAACAGATAGGAATAAAAATGATAAAAATAAAAGTATTTGCAGGTACATAATATGTATTCTGCATAAATCCTTTGATTATAGTAATTTATGTTCCCTCACACATTTTATCTCACAGTGGATTAGTGTCAAATCTATGTGACCAAATCACAGATTATTCATGAAAACATACTTTCTCTAATTATTTTACAGTCACATTCAAGTATTTTTGAACACAACTCAATGCTGTGAACAGGCTCTCTTTTCTGCTCTTACTAGAATGTTCTGAACAGCTTAGCAATAGCTAAGAGGCTAAAAGACTCCAGTAATGTTCAGAGAGAGGCTAAAATAGGTTTATAAAGGATTCTCTGCAAAACTACTATAAACTATTTAAATAATGTGACCTGAATGTCTGTTACAGGTTTAAAATGCTCCGTGTTTAAGTTTAAGCTAGAGTTTGGAATAAATGGCATAAAATGTCAATATACATCATTGCTAGCTTGGCGCTAATATAACAGGGGTGCTATGCTAAAAGAAGGCTATTTACAAAGCAAATTGTGAGGGTTCTGCGTTAAACGTTTTTATTTAATGACATGCCTGACTGGCATGTTTATGATTTTAGAATGCTCTTACTTTGAACAATAAAACTGAATTATAGGAAAGAAAAACAGAGCAAGAGGACTTATTAGCAAGTAGGTCTAAATAGCCTAACTAGCATCTGTCCTTATTTCATTCATAAAAATTATATATCTTGGATGGTGAAAAACTATTTAGTTGTCAACAGACATTTCTTAGGGCACATAAGAGGCAAAACCAAATTACACTGGTTGTTACTTTTGCTAAATTTTCTAGTTGATGCTTTGTTGGATGTCTGTAGTGATGTGTTTATGAGGAAGAGATGACTCTCTCTTTCCTGAGGTAAACTGTAGATCTGAATAATTCCTGTTTCCTCTCACAGAACAGAACAGAAAAGGCGGCCGCCACCCTGTGGCTAGTAGAAGAATGGTTGCCCTTTATGACTATGACCCCAGAGAGAGCTCCCCAAATGTGGATGTAGAGGTACTTGCACACACACACACACACACACACACATACACACACACACACACCATCTCACAATCTCAGTGTTTCAGTTTGCTGACTGGCCTTTTCTGAACTAATTTTATCCTCTCTGATACAGGCAGAGCTGACATTCTGTGCTGGAGACATCATTGCTGTATATGGGGAAATCGATGAGGATGGATTTTACTGTGTAAGTGATTTAGCGGAGCTGGTTGTTTTTACCACTGTTTCAACTTATCTTAAAATGCACGCGTCAGGGAAATCAAAACGCTCCTTGCTTTTTTAATTGAAGAATTCAATGTGCCAAACCCCGGTCTATACAGTCCATATATGCACTGCATAAAAAAGCATGTTGGCAAGTAAAATGATCTTAAATCTAACTATATATCTAATGTTTCTCATTTTGAGATGGTTGTAACCATTATATTGGAGTATTTCACTTATTTCTAGATATTCCTCACTGTGTTTCAAGTGATTTCAAGTGATTGAAGCCAAATTATCTAACTATATTGATATATAATTTTGCTTGTTGTAAGAAATATGCTTGAAACATGCCAAATTATCTGCCAATATAGTGACATAATTTGACTTATGAAAATCACTTAAAACAAGGTAAAAATGTCTAGAAACAACCTCAAAATGAAAAATATTATATATCGACTACACTTAAGATAATAATTTCATTTGCCAAAATGCCATTTCTGCAGTGTGCAAGCTAAGCTGCAAAAAGTTCACGTTAGTGATGAGGAAAATGATTAAACATTGTTTTGTTCCTAGCTGGTGGGAATGAAATGTGCACTGTATGTCCAAAAGTGTGTAGACACTTGCTCATTCAACGTTTTTTCCAAAATCAGAGGTAATGGTAAAGAGTTTGTGCTCCCTTTGCTGCAGTTTTAGCCACAACTCTTCTGGGAAGGCTTTACACTAGATATTGGATCTTTGCTGTGAGGATTTGATTGCAGTCAGCCACGAGTGAGGTCAGGTACTGATGATAGATGATTAGTTCTGGACCACAAATGCCACTCCAGTCATCCCAAAGGTACTGGATCATGTTCGATCACTCCAGAGAAAGCAGTTTCACTGCTAAACAGCCTAATGCTGGGGGGGGGGCTTTATACCCCTCTAACTGATGTTTGTCATTGGACGTAGAGACCTCAGGCTCATGTGTGGCTGCTTTAGAGCATTCCATTCTGTTGGCACTACATTTTTATTAAGACACATAGTGTCGTAGCGTACTGTTGCAGCCTTCCAAAGGACCACAAGGAGTATCAAATTTTTTTTTGATATCATTGAGAATTTTTATGCCCAGACTTAACTATATGGACTGTTAAGGTTCTTTTTTTGAATGAGGTACAATTCAAGCAGTCATTCAGAATATGGGTCATTTACATAGATCAGTCTCACAGGTATAGTAGCAAAAACAACCAGTTTAATATGGAGGTATGAAGAGCTTGGAAAATGACCTTGTAAACATTAACTATGACTGTTTTTGGTCACTGGACATTAGATAAAAAATAAAATAATAAAAATATAAAATATGGGCCTTTTTAATTTAGCAGACCAGTTTTAGTTTTACCATTTGATGAAAACCTGAATATCTTTCCCCACAACAAGATCGTGATTGCATTTTCCCATTTTTCATTTTGCAGGGAGAGCTTAATGGACACCGGGGCTTGGTTCCCTCTAATTTCCTAGAAGAAGTGCCTGATGACGTGGAGGTCTATCTGACAGACACTCCAACACGCTACGAGCCGGAAGATCCAGCGCCGGCACCGCGCCCCGAGGCCAAACGGGTACACCATCGCCGCTCTCAGCGCTAGGCCCTGTGTCCATCCATCCTCCGTTTGAGTTCCGTCCGCTCGCCGTCTCTGTGTTTTCTCGTGCTTGTTTGTTTTGTGTGGTGGTGCAAGTGCATAGTGGTTTCCAGTCCAACCTTTCTTGCGTTTGGAAAGGGAGAAGCAAAGCCCATTGCGAGCTGAAAGATCAGTGCACAGACAGAGAGACAGAAGTAATGGCATGACTTGCTACAGTGGGGGGATGTTGATAGAGCATCCTAAGAGGACATTGGGACAAAACACCAAAGTGGGAAGCGAATGAGACTCTAAAATGTCTTTGCACTGAAACGTGACAACCTACAAAAACAACATTGGCTTAAGTGCTTTATGAACATGTCCAAAGGGTCTGTGACTCAAGATTTGTAACCTATTGAAATGACTAATTTAGAGTCCAATGTAGGTCGCCCTTCACTAGATAAGCATGCCTTTTTCAAAATAGACTTCATACCTTTTATATAAGAGTAGCATACATTGGCCTTTGTGTTGTATTCCTTTAAGGAGGCTTTGTTTCTTTTTTGTATATTGCACACCCTTCGAAATTCTATTTTTCAGGCCCTAAGAACTTTGAGAACATGCAAATATCACTCATCCACTCTCTTACAGAGAGAGTAAAATGATGACACATTTACTGTAATGATTAAGAAATAAACGAAAAACTGAAGCAAATTCTTATGATGACCTGTCAGTGGGACATCCGTGTTCATTTGTGTATTGGTGTATTTTTTTTTGTATTTTCTTTCTTTAACTTTTCCTCATGTTTGATGTGTGGATGTTACTGAAATGATGTCGCTGCATTCTGATTTCCTTTTTTCCCACCCGCTTGGCAACAAACAGCAGAGGAAGATTGTTCATTTTCCATCCTAGCAGGCTCTGTTTCTAACGTTTAAGTGAGCAACTGGGGATACCAGTTACTGGTCTTATGCAGAGGAAAATTCCACCAAGGCCCAATAACTGAAATTACACAAAGAAAATTAAAAAACAGTTTAAAGTTGGTTCATTAAGTTTAGCTCTTTAAGGAGATATAAAGCTTATAGTTCCCTCTACACAACTTATCCACTGAGGTTTCCAGTGTTGATTTCCATAGTTTCCATAGTTTTACTCTTGGTTTACAGTTTGAACAGTTGACAATTTACTCTTTGGCTTTCACCTGTGTTAACCCATTAATGTCCATATCTGACATTCCTTTGGTCCGTTTTAAGGGTGTAATGATGCACAAATGTAAATGTGATGTGATATGGTGGCGTCACGATGTGATAAATGTTTCAATACAGCAAAAATAAGGAGTGTCTGAATATATGGCATGTGTGCAGCTGACATGCATGCACAATAGCGGTGTAACAATATGTTCAGGTTCAATGCAGTTTCCAATTTTGAGATCAAGATTCAATTTGTTTTTTCTGATATGTGCTAAAATTTCTCTGTCTTGAATCTGCAGAGCTCTAATATATACAACGCAGATTGATTTGGCTTCAGATAAATAAATGTTCTCCAATAGAAACAGTTCAGTAGCTGCCGTGCCACCCTCTAAATAAACCCCAGCGATCACATCCTCTAGAACGGGTGTCCAGTCTTATCCGCCAAAGGCTGGTGTGGTTGCAGGTTTTTATTCCAACAAAGCAGGACTGCACACAATCAGTTGTTTGAAGGCTGAGCAACTGATTAAACAAGGTCAGGTGTATCAGTATGAATCAGATGTGCTCCAGCTTGTTTGGAAGGAAAACTTGCAGCCACACCGGCCCTTTGTGGATGAGATTGACACCCCTGCTCTAGAATTTATAATTGATTTATAAAAAGACTAGTCATTGGAGCATGGGTGCATGCATAACTTAAGCACTCAGATGGCTAGTTTTGATTGTTGACAGTGGTTTCCATGAAAGATGATAGATGAGAGACCCTTGGAAGAGAGTGTGAGGCGTATCAGCAATACTGCTTTAAATTTCAGTACACTATTTTATTTTTCAATGTGTATTGACATCATTACAACATGAATCCATGTGTTCTCTGAGCTTGCCTGAGAAGACATTTTCATACTGATTGAACTGTATGGCTAAAATGTGAGTTTATATCACTTTATGCATCATACAATTCAGTATTTTGATTGCATGACTAGTGATTTTTAACAAAGCAATAGAAAATTCTAATCTGATCGTTCACATAAGTACGAAAATCACATGTAATTTAAAACAATCAAATGGACACTGTTAGATGGGTAACAATACAAAATTGACCAGAGGTCTACAAATCTGGACTTCCAGTTTCAAATCTTGTATTTTGTATTCGCTTGTACTTAATTGCACTGTTAATTGGCCACCTAGTGTCATACCTACCAGTGATTACATCCAGGACCGGAAACAGGATTCAAGGTCCCGATTTGAAGACCTCTGCACCAGTTATCACACTGGATTTAATTGTTGGACATGAATGGGTTAATATGGAAAGCTGAGGAATATTGTTTTCTAGTATTAAAGCAAATACACTTTCTTTTCTGGCACAATAATGCATCAGACAATAATATGGTATCTGCAGTTGGTTCCTGGTGTGTGGTTTGTTAATGTGTTTGTTCTGGTGCTGACAGCAAAACCCTGTTCTCCTGGCTATCCCACACCTTGCTTTTCTTTACCAGCAAAGCAACAGCATGTCAAATGCAAGTTCTTATTGGTTAAAGGCTTCTCAGTAATGTTATTCTGCGGATTTGATTAATGCTATACAGCTCTGGAATACCAATGCAACTTTTAGACCGATAGAGGCGGTTAACTTCATTTTCCACAAGTCCTCTATGCACCAACTGTTCAGATCAGAGCATTGTAATTCATGGTGTAGCTCTGTTCAGCTTGCCGCCTTGTGATTTGTGCTCCTGCTCTCCTGGGTTTCTCGCCTACTTTTTACACAGTCTATACAGACTCTGCTGAGTCATTGCAGAAATGACTCACTGTGGCATCTTTAGAATGGTTTTGAAAAGCTTTTTAGGGCACTAGACAGGGTGTGAAGGTCCAGAATAAACAGCTACACGCAGCAGTGAAGCCCCAGAAATAGGCATAGCTCTTTTCAGACGAGGTATTCCTTTGTATTCAAGCTAGAGCAGGCACGTGAGGTGAAGTCACACTTGCTGTTTAACACCCTGCACTGTCCCCCCCTCCTGATGGATCTCTCATTAGGTGCCTGTGGAAAACACAGTTCCTGCCCCGGCCCCCGGAAGACCAGCGTCCCCCACTGTGCGTCCCCTGCTCCCTGTGGGGCCCATCAGGCCCCTGAGCCCTGCCAGGGGCCCCCGAGACCTGGCCTCCAAAAAGAAAAAAGGACTGCTCTCCAAAGGGAAGAAACTGCTCAAAAAGTTCTCGAAGTAAAGGTGGTTTGATTCAAATAACACTGTAGAACTCCATACACAGAGCTTAATCAAAAGGGCAACAAAATGGGCTCAAGTCAACAGTGCAGTGTTTAATCTTTCAGTCAGATCTACAATAGTATTCATATTTACTCGCCACGCACATATACTAGAATACGCGCTCTTTCGGGTGATAAGTGTTGATGTATGACAAACCGTGTTTCCTCTATTCTCATTCAGATGAACTTTGGGAAGGTTCTGCAATGATGGAAATCTGGGGCTGGATTCTCAAAGCTTCATGGCCTTATGACCCTCTTGACCTAGGACCACTCTGTGACTAGTTAATGACCTTCCCCATGTCTAATTCTTAAAAGTACAATGGGATATCCTAAGGTAGTGGTGACGTAACCTGGACTAAACCTTAAAGGGAAGGTGGCATGTCAGCTGTTTTGCTCTCTTCTAATGACAGACAGCAATTTAATATGCACACAGCCAATGGGAATTGAGTGAGGAAGCCCATGTGCTACGTAGTCACCCTCAGCCTAGTGTAAAAAATGGCAAGTAGCTATTTTACAGGAATAAAGAAAAGAACAAGATTTTACCAGAGCTATTTCAGAGCATTTCTATTGGTCCATTCATCATGAAATGTTGACACAGTGCAAAGGACAGGTAGCACTTTATTACAATTAAGCAAAAATAACAAATAAATACCTAAATAAAGGCCAAAACTGGGGACAACTTCTATGGGATACAGATAAATCACAATAATCAGACAAGTGTAATGAGTAAGTTTTATTTTATGTTATTGTTCATTTTACTATAAAGTTATTTTAATCACATCTGCCTTTTAAGGGCTTTGTTAAAGGAGCAATACACCAAATTTTCCAAAACGTCCGCATAATTATATGGTTAAGGTGTAAACAGAGTCATTCAGAGTGGTTTGATGCAAAATGCTCTACTCTAGAGAAACGTGCTGAGTCAGGATTGTTCACAGTGGTGGTGATAGGAACCAGACGTCTACCTGTAAAAGCTCCTCAGCTCCCTGTGGGTTATGGTGGTTCTAAATGCTTTGACAGAAAGCACTTACTTGTTATAATGTTAATGATTTTAACACTGTCTGATCTTTATATTTTTATTACAGTTTTGGTCTAAGAAGTATTTTTATAATCCGTTTGAGGTGGAAGGGTACATGCAGGGTGTTGTAAAGCAAAATAGTCCCCCCCCAAAAAAGGTACCACTTACATTACTAATATTATATATAAAATCTCAGAAGACATGTGTAGGTTGACTGACCGTTTTGGATAATAAATAAAGTGGCTATATTTGCATAGTAGACATTGTGACCCCTTGTATCACCATCACTGTAAAGAAATCGGTAATTTTCTACAGTGAACCATTTCACATTACAATGCTGTGAATGACTTTGTTTACATCTCAACCATGGAATTATGGAGAATGAATTTGTAATAGTTAACTGTGCTCTTTGGAAAGTTATAACTAATTACAAAAAACTAAGGCCTATTATTTTTTCTTCTATTAAGCAAAGTCAAAATTGTTGTAGGCTAAACTTACCATCCTCCATGAGTTTTGATGGCTTTTCAGTTAATTTCAATGTAATTTCCAATAAGTAGGAGTGTTCTTTTTATGATGTTGTCAGAAATATTTTCTGGTTTTATTCTGCTAGGACTTCTCTGAGGCGGTCCTAAATTTTAATACAGTCACGCCAATAGAGAAGAGCAGTCATGTGACAATATAGAGCCTGAAATGTTTTGAGAATCAGTTATGAGTGAAGCTGGCCATAAACTATGGCCCTTGTGGGTTATAATGGTCCTAAATGCTTTGAGAATCGGCCCCTGAGTCATTGCCATTGTATATCAATATCTGGTGCATTACTTAATATGGAGGCATGAATGATATGATAGGATGATATGAGGTGGCAAATTATGTTGATAATCTTAAAAAACATTCAAAGCCAAGGTAGTGCACTGGCAAAGACCATGATTCATAAAGGCTAGAATGCCACCATTCCTAATTGTTTTAAGATGGTGGGCTGGTGCTATTACAGGAGAGACGGCAAGCAACTAGAAAGACCTTTTAAATAATGCAGTGGCCTTCATCAAAACTCAATAAGCATAATTTATTACCAACATCTGCAGCCAGTTTCCTATACAAGGATTAGTTGTGGACTGAATTGCAGTGCCAAGGGTGATTCATCATTGAAAATCCTTTTAAGTCCAGGCTTAGGCCTAATCTAAGTCTGTGAAACTGGCTCCTGATGTTTTAATACACCAGTCTTTGCCAAGAAGCCGCTTCTCTCTCAGTCACATGTACCTACTTGTCATATGTCCTTCGTCATATCGACTTTGGAAGGTTGTCCTGTTGTTAAAACTTGCCTCCTGTGTTTGCCTTCAAAATGCACAAAAAGCGAGATTCGTGTGGTGAGTGACACTGGTACCGTGTGTGTAAACGTGTGAATGAGCAGACTGTGTCCTGTTAACATACATGTTTGTGCATCTCTTAAACTGAAAAAGCGAAAATGTAGATATGTGATCAAGTGCTGTGCTGCTAAACTACACAGTGTTTCATTTTTTTCTGTAATCTGACAGTAGGGGTCGTCCTCTAAAGAAAAAAAAATAATCAAAGATGTCTTGATGTTTCAAATTCTGCACATGCCTGTTTACACGCACTTGTGTTGGGGGGTTGGTGGGATTGATGAACATGGGCCTAGGCCTGAATAACTTCTCTTAACTACTGCTCAAGCTATCAAGGGTTACTTTTCCTGAGAGCTTTACTGCTTTACACAAACCCTCAATAGCAATGAACCTATTATGGTGAGGTGTTAGCATGTAACATACTTGCAAAAGTGTACAGTGCACTGCAAAAATGATCATCTTAGCAAGTGAAAGCATTTTAAATATACGTAATCTAATATTTCTTATTTTTGTAAGATTATTATAAGATTAAACCTGTTTCTAGATTTTTTGTCACACCTTATTTTAAATGTCCCCTATAGATTATCTATAGTTGCTCAAATTATTAGAAAACCATCTGGTGAAACTCAAGCTAGTTATCTACAACATTAGGGTTAAGAATTAGGTTTAAGTTTTCAGTTAAAGTTAAAGGGGCACTCAAACCAAAATGAAAAATTCCTATATCGCTACATCTGTAAACATGCCTGCTCACCTTCTAGAGCAGTGCTGCAGTGAGCAGTGCTGCAGTGGTCTCTAGAGGGATGTGTTCTAGTTTAAAGACTTGGAAAACTCCCTTCTGATGATGCATATTGAAGGTGGGAGGAACCTTTGAAAAGCGATAAGAGCTTTGGGGCAGATACTTGAAGAACTGTCTGATTTTTCCCTGCTGGCTGGCTAATGCTTTCTGCAAGTTACACAGCTGTGAGAAATTCCGAATGGTTGTATGATATACTTGTGTAATGCATGCTGGGTATTGTAGTGAAAGAACACTGAGTGAAAACACAAAAGGATAAAAAACTGTATTTTATCAAATCAGTGACACTAAGAGTCACAATGCTGCACTACACAGGACTACATAACATGATAAATAACATATTAAATGCTAGTTTTAGGCTAGAAGGCCCCTTTAAGGTTAGGGTTAGGTTAGGTTCACATTTGCGGTTTGATTTCATGGAATCTGTTACGTTTATTGACATTTAGTTGAATTTAATAGATATTAATTTGAATGTTAGTTACAAGGTGACCATCTACAGTAGCCTCTGAAAAAAACAAAGTTACTGATTTTTAAAATGAATTTTAAGCTATTCATTTTACTCATTTTTCTCCCAATTTAGTAACTGTTAATTCCACCTGCTAACTAGGTCCCCCCTGATCACACGATGCTACCAAGCTAGGGTAAAGGCCAGCACATGCTTCTCCAAGTTATGTGAAGCCACCGCATACTTTCAAACTGCCGCTAATGCAACGTCAGTGGAGAGTTCAACACGCTTGGAGGAGAACACTAACTGCCAATGCTGTTACATTAGCTACCAGACACCATGTTGACTCACATTGCGCTAAGTGAAGTGGGAGAGGCCCACTCACCCAGAGAGAGCGAGACCAATAATGCTGGCATCCATGGATGGCTGTGGCATCTCTGGTGTTTTTAGATTATTTCGATTATTTTGTTGCTTATTTGAATTATTTTCATGTGAATTTACAGTACCCTACTGCAGTGGCAGAAAATGTAATTTGTTGAAACAAGCAAAGTTAAAGATCATTTCATTTGATATTACTTTACCTGTCCACATTCAGGATGCTTTCACTAGCAAAGACTGCATTTTGTACAGTGTGTATGCTAGCAGAGTCCCACTCATGATAGTGTTGATCAAACATGCCATTTCACTCAAGATACAGTATCTCCTGCAGGACACCATTAAAGGATGAATCTCCTGGTGCATTACAGCGTTCTGTTCTAGACATGTTCTCTTTGCAAATGGAAATGCAAGATTGCCAAACCAGCGTCTGACTTCACCTTCCTGCAGCTCACGCTGGTTTAGATTGCACTCCTGCTTGGTTTTATCCAGGGTATATATTATATGTGTGAAGCTTGTATTTGTGTCAAATCAAGTAGATGTTCTAAATCTAATCAGTTCAAGTGTTTTGACTGAAATAAATCTTTTTTTTATGGAAAGAGTAGATTTTTTTTATTTGATGTTGGAAAAAAGAGATAGCTATAAAAAAAGACACAAAGTTTGACTGCCAAAAAGGAATGTACAAAACATTGAGCTGTCTGTACAGCGTACATCATCATTTTGCCAAAAAAGAGAAGAAAAATCAAGCATATTTTTATTTTAATCACAGAATTAACTATAAATATATAACAATAATTATAACTACAACTATAATTATAAATATAACTACAGATCTCAAGCATTCATTTGTGATTAGATGTGGTGTCTCTACTGTTTGGGTCACTGTTACTCTTTTTGTACTTTTTTCTCCATTTGTAGATAATTTATAAATGTTTATACTTGATTTTCAGACTGCCTTTTTAGTGCATTGAGATTTAATATTCAACAGTGCAAGCATTATTCATGGTGTCCTCAAGAAACGATGTGGAAGTCTGCAGTTGTGTGCTCGCTCAGTGGATTAAAGGAAAAAGAGAAATCATTGGCCTATATTTATGACTACAGTGTGACTGTGCATGTGTAATGTACACATTTTTTTCTAATGGAAATAAATTTGATATTTTTCAAGTGAAGGCTTCAGTGTATTTTTGTGGCAAATTGTGGTCTGTCACATTGCAGTTCCACCACATGTCCACAGGATGGCAGTAGTGCTCCGATTATAATGGGAGTCGTTCTCAGTCCTTCTGCCCATTTCAATACTGGGTTTATCATGCCATCGTCCACTTTGCCTCACCGTTTCCTAATGGGGGAATACCCAACTCCATAGGGGCTGTTCCATTATTGTATTAGCTCAAGTGAAGTTTGTTAGATGAGCCCTCAGAGGGGTGAGGGATCAAGTGAACATAAGGGTCAACTTCGGCAGGAGAACCTGTCCAGGAATCATTGCGACCCAACACTTCCCCACTCCAAACCCAAATTTAAAATGCTTAATATTTCAAAATTGTACCATTTGATTGATTTGCTATGGTCAGAATTGGTTTTATAGCAAAGTACTCCAGCTGTTATACGTGACTCCTGATACAATTTCATTATTAATTTATTGTGCTAACTTGTAGTTAGCAAGCTAAAGGTTACACAGCTAGCCACAAGAAAAGAAAGGCACTACACCACAGTTCTGAAGTAATAGCCAGACAAAGGCACTTCTTCACAGAATGTATACGTGTTATGTTCAGACATCTCAAAAAAGTTTAAAAGGTTTGCATGGTTAACTTATTAGCCCAGTGTGCCACTGTGGCTCAGCGTTGCTGTCCACTCCTCCCCTGAACTCTGGCTACTTGTTTAAGGTGCAAGCTGCATGGTTTTAAACCATGTATTTAAGTTGAAAACTGTCAAATGTTCTGCTGAATGGCACTAGAAAGCACCATAGCTCATCATAGCTAAGCCATTTAAGACTGAGGATGCTTCACCTAGTCACTAACAGAGGAAAAGATTTTTTTGAAGCTGTTTCTGAAAACCCCAGAGTTGTTCAGTAGTGGGCATTAAGATTAACATAAACTGAATGTGAAAAACACTTTAATTCTTTTATAAGTCAGTTTTGAAATTTTAGTGCTTGGTTCAGTCTTTTGTGTTTTCCCAAATAGTTGACAGTTCTAGGCTGATTCTGGCTTTCATAAGCATGTATTGGTAGAATACCAGCAGATTTTAGGCATGGGCCCAGATGCTTCATATGGTTTTGCCTCATGTCTATATCTGTGGGCCAGTTTTTGCATTGTGGACCAACAATGCAGTTATGACAGATTTTGGTCACATTTGTTAGTTATATTCATTTTACAGTGGCCAGATCTGGGCCAATGACCCAGCCGTATACTGGGCCAGAACAATTCCATACATGGGCCAGACAAATTTTGCTAACTAGTTTTTTGGTTTTCCCATGTTTACCTAGTTGTCAATCAAACGTGTTAACTTACCCCATTAAGAAGTGTGTCCTGCTTCTTTTTAAGCATGACATGCTTTGCGTTTAAAGAGGGGTTGTCTGAACACCCCCTAATGTGAAGACATGTTACAAAAGTACTGAAATGGGACCCTGGTACTGGGAGACCTTGGCGCTGAACATTTAAGTGTTGTCCCTGATCTAACAGAGCATTTTGACTCTGAAAGGGCTTTTAAGGGCTCGTCACTGATGTTTCTGCATTATTGAATGGGTACCGCACAAACAAAATTATTCAGAGTGGTTTGGTGTGAAATACTTCATTCTAGAGAAACTTACCATGTCAGAATAGTTCATAGTGATGATAGAAACCAGACATCTGAAGAGTTTAATGCATCTAAAAGCTCCCTCCCAGAAAGTTCTTACATGAAATGGTTATGAATACGCTATCTGCTGTCATCTGCTGAGACATCATTTTACAGTTGTTTTGTCATACATTTTTTGGTCTAAAACATATTTTTATCAGTTTATTTTAATCCATTCATGGTGGAAGGATAGAACAAAGGTGTTCTAAGGCAAAATAGAAACAAAGAAAACAATTTTTCAGACTGACCATTATTTTACCATCATCAATGTTACATATAAAAACTTAGACACGTGTAGGTTCACTAGTAATTTTGAATATTAAATAAAATGGCTATATTTGTGTTGTGACCCCTGATTCCTATCACCACCACTGTGAAGTAATCTGAGTCAGTACATTCTCCACAAATGAACCATTTCACATCAAACCACTCTGAATGACTGTTTATATATCAGCCACTACATTATGCAGAAACTTTGAAAAATCAGTGGAATTCCCATTTAAGTAGCTTATTAGTTGAATCAAGTTTGTGGGGGGGCAGGAAACACTAAGATGTGTAGCGGAGTGAGGCCTACAGGACCAGTATGGAGAACCACGGCTTAAGTCTCCTGATCATCAGAGGTGTAGAGGGAGAAACTGATGCTTCTAGTGGTGAAAACTTCTCATATATACTCTCTGGCCATTTTATTAAGTACCTTGTATTTAGACATTCATTGTCCATTTTTATTCACTTACGATATAGGTACAGGTTCTACAATTACAGACTGTAGTCCATCTGTTTCTCTGCATTCTTTGTTAGCCCTTCTTTACCTCATTCAGCAGTAGTAAGGACCCCCATAGGACCACCACTGAGCAGATATTATTTGGATGGTGGATCGTTCTGAGCACTGCACTTACTTTATAGTGACATGGTAGTTTGTGTGCAGCACAGAGTGAAGATGGACAACAGTCTGTATATGCAGAACTACAAAGTGCACCTGTATGGCAGGTGGACCTGATAAAATGGAAAATAAGTGCAGATACAAGGTAAGTGTGCCTAATAAAGTGACCAGTGTAGTGTATGTGGCATCTTTATGTTTGGAACTTATTCAGTACTGACCAGCTTTCATGCATTTAATTTTGTAGTGAAAACAGCCATTAAGTAGTTTTTTCAGCACCAGGAAAATAAGCAGATAGCATATTTAGCACAAAATTACACAGAAGCCTTAAATGTAGTTATGTTTTAACTGAAGTTTGGGTTGAGGAACATGTCTGGAACCCCTTCTTCCTCCAATCTAAGGCCCTATAAATTCACATCCTCACCTCCTATTCCCATGACGAAGTGTTCACAATCCCCACCAGGGGCCTGGCCTTCTAGCTACAAGGAGAAGCTGCTGAGAACTTGGGCTGTATTTAGTGCATCCACCTTTTACTTTAACACAGCTTACATTCTTTTCAGGAGACTTGCTTTCAGTTTTTCAAAGAAATCTACAGAGATAAAAGTGCAGTCTAGGAGTTGCTTGCATTTTCTAGTTCCATTTTCTCTGTAGGTTTTGAACTTTTGAAAAATGTAAACAAATATGACTGTAAAGGAAATGAATATTTTGTGTATGGAGTGATCTAATCATTATTACATCAAAATACTCTGAAAGCTGCATAAAAAGCTGACACCATTCACTGCACGATGCAGACTGTGGTGTAGAATATTCAGCTGAGCAGACAGTACAACCCCCCAGAGTGGCAATGCAGACACTATTGTGCAGAACTGCTCTGTGTTGAAATGCAAGACGAGTCTGAGCAGTGGGATAGCCCTCTCTATGAGAGAGAGAGGGGAGAGAGAGAGAGATGATTATGCTCGTATATCACTGGGTTTCTCTGGCTCTAAGCCCCGCTCTCCTACCAGTCAACAGTGAGCTGTAATGATTCCATGGGGCTGTGGGCCAATGGATGTTTAAAATTCTCTCCGGCTTTGACCTCTCGATCAACGCCTACTTTTAACAGGAGCCCCGAGCGAGGACACGAGAACTCGTTCATCTTCCTGCTTTTCCTGAATATTTCAGAGGTTGTAAAACAGCCTTGCGCAAAGAGTGCTGTCTTCCTGACCCTGGAGTGACAGAGGCGTGTTCAATGGCAGCACATTCACGGGCAGGGTAAGAACCGGACACAATAGGCCACATTTTTCACCATCTTCATGAATACACCTCTAGTATCCATTTCTTTGATAAACTCCCTAGCTTCTTTGAACATTAGCTTTCTCCAGGACACGCGTCTCCTAAATGTGCTCAGGAAAACTCCAGGTAGGTATTACATGCAGATTTACACTCTTCAAGGGCCCATGTACTACATTTTTTCTTGTATTTTGTTTTTTTTCCACGAGGCCCACCCTTCATTTGTTTAATTCCCATTCAAAAGAGCCGTTAGGTACAAGTAGTTCATTTTTCAGAGCAAGAAAAAAAAAAATTAGTGTCCACTCTGCATTTATTACAGCTTCCATTCTTTTCTTTTAACTTGCTTTCAGTTTTTCAGAGAAATCTGCAGAGACATTTTTTTCACATCACCAAGGCTCAGTCTTAGTCTTGAACTTGTAAAAAATGTAAAAATGTTAGAAGTTGGTTGCATTTTCCCAAACACACTCAGTGATGTTTAGGTCTGGACAGTCCATTGTTCTGATAACACCAGCAGCTTCCCATTTTCCCATTTTATCTACATCCTTTAATATTTTTTTAACTATAGTTTTGGAAACTTTTCCTTTTTTCCACTTTTTTCTATTTGACTTTCCCCTTCCCTATGCTAGTGGATTATTTTATATCTAAATTCCTCAGAAATATCTTCTGAAAAATGAATGGTGGTCTCTGACTTTTACATAGTACTGTACCAAAACCAGTCATAATACTTTTTTATATGAACATTCCCTTCCCTTCCCTTAACCCTCGGTGTTAAATAGGTTCTTTCTTACTGCAAATAAATTCAAAATAGACTGTTTTTGCAGCTTTATTTCTATGTGTATGGATCGTATGG